TTGCAGGTCTTCTGCATTCTAAATTTAAGATAATGGGTGAGGAGTTGCTCTAGGCATTGATGTGCTCAAATTTGGCTGCATATCAGAATCATGTGGTGATGTTAAAAATAATACTGGAGATTGCAGTTTAATTGGGTTTGGATGGGACCATGGTAAAATAGTCTTCCTTTTATATTGTAGAACTGCCTTTATGGAGGCCTAGAACTTTCCCATTATCATTATCATCATCTCCTTTCCTTCCTCCTCTATCTTCTCCCCTTTCTCATTCTCCCCCATCCCCCTTTTTTAGATCCTCACCCAAGAACATGTTTTATTGGTTTCTGGGGGGCAGGGCAGGAGAGAGAAACATAGATCAGTTTCTCATTGATCAGTTGGAGCTTTGTGCTTGTGCCCTGACAGGATTGAACCCTTAGCCCATTGGTACATGGGATGATACTCCAAGTAACTGAGCCATGGGGTCAGGGTTTCTTCTCCTTTTGAAAATAATTTGTTGATGTGAAATTCACATACATAAAATAAACCTTTTTTTTAAAAATATTTTATTTTTAGAGGGGAAGGGAGGGAGAAAGAGAGGGAGAGAAACAGCAGTGTGTGGTTACCTTTCCGTGCCCCCTACTTGGGGACCCGGCTAGCAACTCAGGCATGAACCCTGACTGGGCAATCAAACCATTGACCCTTTGGGGGGCATTAACAGGCCGTGGCTCAGTCCTAAGCTACACTAGCCAGGGCTAAAATAAATCATTTAATGTGAACCCATGTCGGTGGCATTTACTGTACTCCCATTGTGCAACTACCCACCTGTATTTGTACAGCATGTCCATCACTCCAGTGTAAAACCGTGCCCAGTGAGCAGTTTCTCCCGATTTCCATTTTTTCCTAGACTCTGACAACCACCAGTTAGTGTTCTCTCTGTATTATATGTCTGGATATTTCATATAAATGGAATTATATAAAGGATACTTGTGACCTTTTGTGTATGGTTTTTACTTAGCATGTTTTGGATGTTCACCCATGTTGTAGCATATGTCAACACTTCATCCTCTTTATCACCAAATACTATTCCATTGTGTTTATATCTCAGACTGTTTATTCGTTTGTCTATTGATAGGCTTCTGGGTGTGTAATTAGTGCTATTATGACCGTATGCATGTGTACATGTGTATTTAAGTACCTTTTTCAATTCTTTTGGTTATATACCTAGGGGTGAAATTGTGGGGACAAATAGTAATTCTGTGTTTTACTTTTTTTTTTTTTTTTTAAAGATTTTGTTTATCATTAGAGAGGAAGGAAAGGAGAAAGGGAGAGAAATATCAATGTGTGGTTGCTTCTCATGAGTCCCCTGCTGGAAACTGGCCTGCAACCCAGGCATATGCCCTGACTGGGAATCGACCTGCGATTCTTTGGTTCGCAAGCCTGCGCTCGCTCAATCCATTGAGCTACACCAGCTAGGGCTGTGTTTTACTTTTTAAGGAGCTGCCAAACTGTCATCCAGCAGATGAATCATTTCTGTTCCCCCCAATAATATATGAGGGTTTCATTTTCTTCATATGCTCACAAATACTTGCTATTTCTTTTCCTCCCTCCCTATCATCCCTCCCCCCTCCTTCCCCTCTGTCTCCCTCTCCCTCTTTCATTCCTTCCTTTCTAGCCATCCTAAGGGAATGCAAAATGATAACCTCATTTTTATTTTCATTTCCCTTAATGACTAATGATGTTGAACATTCTTTCTTGTGCTTATTGCCACTTACATGTCTTCTTCAGAGAAATGTCTGTTCAGGTCTGCCCATTTTTTAATTGGCTAGCTTGTCTTTTTGTCTTTGACTTCTAGGAGTTCCTTATATATTATGGATAGTAAATCCTTATTAGATATATGACTTGCAAATATTTTCTCAGATAGCTTTAGGTTTTTCACTTCATTGATAATGTCCTTGGCATGAAAGTTTTTAATCGAAATGAAAACTTTTATTTACTTTTTATGTGTTGCTCATACTTTTGGTGTCTTATCTAATCTGTAAACAAATCCAAAGTCATGAAGATTTACCCATTTTGTTAAAAAGTTTTATGATTTTTATTCTTTGATCTTTGTTCCATTTGAGTTAATTTTGTACGTGGTGTTCAGTAGGAGCCCAACTTATTTCCCCATTGAACGGACTTAGTACCCTTGTCAAAAAATATGGACTATAGATGTATAGGTATATTTATGATGTGTATGTCCACCATTATGCTAGTTTTAAATTGTCTTGTTGGCTATAGCTTTGTGGTAAGTTTTGAAATCAGGAAATGGGAGTCCTCTCACTTTATTCTTCTGTTTCAAGTTGTTTTAACTATTGTGGGTCCCTTGAATTTCCATTTCCATTTTAGGATCAGTGTGCCAGTTTCTACAAAAAGGTATTGTGTTGAATCTGTAGGATCAAATTGGGGAATGTTTTCATCTTACCATGAAATGTTCCTACCCATGAACACAGGATGTTCTTTTATTTATTTAGGTCTTCTTTAATTTCTTTGAGCCATATTTTGTAGTTTTCTGTGTACAGGTCCTTAACCTCCTTGGTAAGATTTCTTCCTAGGTACAAAATATACCTAGGAAGAAATGAAATTATTTTCTTAGTATCTTTTTTAGGATGTTCATTACTGGTGTATAGAAATAAAACAGACTTTTGAGTATTGACCTTGTACCCTGCAACTTTGCTGAATTTGCTTTATTAGCTTTACTTGTTTGTTATTAGCTTTCTTGTGGATTTTTGGAGTTTTTTGTCATTTGCAAATGAAAATAGTTTTTTTTTCCCTTTTCAATTTGTTTGCCTTTTATTTTTCATTAAAACTAGGTTCTTTGCTACTTGGGTAGGTAGACTAATGGCTCTTTTGAGATGTCCACTCCTACTTCCTAGAATTATTATATATTAGGTTACATATTAAAGAGGAATTAAGGTTGCTGCTAATCAGCTGACCTTAAAATAAAGAAATTACTCTGAATTATCTAGGTGGGCCCAGCATAATCACAAATCAGAATGAGAGGAGATGTGATTTTGAAAGAAATACAGTGCTTGCTTTTGAGGATGAGAGGTAGGAAGCCAAGACCAAAGGAATGTGGGTGGCCTTTAGAAACTAGGAGGGACAAGGAGAGGGATTCTTAATGCCCCCAGGAAGTTTAGCTCTGTTAGAGCAGTGGCAGGCTTTGACTTAGAAAACTGAAGAAGAATAAATTTGAGTTGTTTCAGGCCACTGAATTTGTGGTAATTCATTACAATAGCAGTAAAAAGCAAGTACAACTACCCAAGTATATTTTATCCTATCTTTTCTGATGTTGGTTTATTTCTACAGGCAAACTCATGTCCAGATTTCCTTTGGGTTGTTTAAAATTGTACTTATTATTTAGGGCCCATGTCAAAGTTCCTCAACCACTACGGTTTTCATTCTTCCATACCACCTCTCAGGTGTCTGCTGTCCAGATACACCTGGTTTCTCTCTCTCTCCTGGTTTCTATCATGCTCTTTCACTTTTCTCATGGCATCTGACAATAATAGAGGTTGGGTTTTTTTAAAGTTTTTTTTTTTTTTTTTTTTTATAGAGAGGGCAACTGAGGGAGAAAGAAAGGGAGAGAGAGAAGCATCGATGTGAGAGAGAAACACAGATCAGGCCCTCACACATGTGCCCCAACTGGGACCAAACTTACCACCTAGGCATGTGCCCCAGCCTGGAAATGAACCGACCTTTGCTTCCTGGGATGACACCTAGCCAACTGAGCCATACCAGTCAGGGCTAGTAACAATAATAGAGTTTAGAATGTAAAAAGTTCTGTTATCTCAATATGGTTGTATATCTGTGTGTATCTAAATCTGGGTTGTAAATACAAGAATTTTACACATTATATAGTTACACCTCTACTTTTTTGGCTGGTATGGCTCAGTGGATTGAGCTCCAGCCTATGAACCATAAAGTTGCCACTTTGGTTTCCTGTCAGGGCACATGCCTGGGTTGCACACAAGGTCCCCAGTCGAGATACGTAGGAGAAGCAGCCAGTTGGTGTTTCTCTCACATCAGTATTTCTCTCCCTCTTTCCCCCTTCCTTCCCCTCTCTCTACAAATAAATAAATACATAAGTAAAATCTTTTTTTTTAAAGTTTGAATCTTTCATTTTACAGATCAAGAGATAGGTGACTGTCTAACACAGTCTTTTCTGTTGAACAGCAGTCTATTTTCACATATGGTAAGCAATCCATGTGTTTGACTTAAATGCACCTGTGGATTAGGTCCTATAATTTAAATTTACAAACCAGCCCTGGCTAGTTTGGGCTCAACTGATTGGAGCATTGTCCCATAAACCTGAAAGTTTGCAGGCTTGATCACTGGTTGGGGCACATAACAGCAGCAACTGATTGACGTTTCTTTCTCAAGTTGATGTTTCTCTCTCTACCCCCTCCTTTCCCCTCTCTCTAAAATTAATAAGCGTGTCCTTGGGTGAGGATGAAGAAATTTACAAACCAAAATATTAAAATCATAGTGGTGAGTTCTTTTATCACGTATACTGAAGGAGTTATAATTAAGTTGTCGGGAGGTGTATTTTTCAGTTTATATAAATCGTACTCATTGAAACCAGTGATGGGTATTAAAGGTGATTATAGCATTTCTATGCAGTTTTAAGCAAGGACAGATTTTTTTCTTTTTACCTTTTTTATGTGCAGTTTGTATCTGACAATAGAGATATTAAGTTGTTTCCCAAGACTCTTGGAACATGATTTATCAAGTTTGTTTCTGATTTTTTAGAAGCATAGTGTTACAGACTTACTGTGTTTCTTTTTTAACTAAGAAATATATCTTGGAGATTGGTCAGTTAATATTTATAATACAAAAAATGTTCAACTCTTTAACATTGATTCCAAATGTGAAAAGAAAGCAGAATTGTTTTCTAATGATAAGAAACCAAGTTTTGTAGGAGAAGAAATTTTAGTCCCTTTTTTATGTCATATTTTTGAGTACTGAATGTGGTTTGTGTCTTGTAGAATGGAGATGTATGCATTTCAATTCTTCATCCGCCTGTGGATGACCCACAGAGTGGTGAACTGCCCTCCGAAAGGTGGAATCCTACTCAAAATGTCAGGTAAGGGGTTAATAAGAAATAATCTGGTTTTTGAGTGGTTCTAAGAGTGGGTACTATTTTTTAGCAAGTACAAAAGAATCCGTTTTTTATATTTGGTTATTTTGTCTTTCATTAGAGCTTTAAGTAGCATGTATACATCATTTTGAAGTTTTTTTTATGAAACAGTAATGCATATGTTACTCATTTCTCAGTGTTTACTTGGGGAGAAATTTTCTAGTCTGAATCCTTCCTCTTAAATTGTTTGAAGTTACATTTGACTTGGATCTCATGACTTCCGTGTTTGGATTGGTTGCTTTATTCTATGATTCTTACTACTTTTTGCAGAAAAGACTTTACAAACTAAAAATTGACTTTACATGCTTCTTTTAAAACAAGCTTCCATTATTCATTGTTTTTTCTTTATTTTATGTATATATGTGGATGTTTCTTATGATTTGGAAGGCTTGTGTATTTCTTCTGATTGTCTTTATATAATACTTGAAAAATTTTGTTTGATAGCCTTATATTCCTTTAATATTTTTGTACAATAAAATAAGTAATAGATATTCTTTAATTACTTGTGATAATAAGGCTTAGTTAAGTTTACCTCTGTATTGAATTATTTTAGTAGTATACAGTTGATTAAAAGCAATATAAGTTTATTATACTTTTGATATATTTTTACATTTAATAATTATAATGAAACAAATTTTTAATCAGATCAGTAGACATTTTCAGTTAGTTCATGTATCCATGAATAATTATTATTATGCTAGAATGAGGCAGAATACAGCTTGGATTTTATATAAATGAATAATATGCCTTATATGTACTAAATGTATATTAGATGCAATTAGTGGGACACCTTATTTCTGTATGACAATGGAATAAATAGAACAGTCAAACCAAGTCCTTTTAATTCCTCTGGGTTATCTGGCAAAAATCACATTGATCTATTGTCAGTCTTTTCCAAAAAATAAGTTTTGTTGAGATATAATTTCCATACTCTACAATTGCCTCATTTTAAGTGTATTGAGTCATAGGTGTATTAACTCAAAGTATTGTCTAAACATTACCACAGTTAAGTTTAGAAGATTTTTATCATCCCTAAGAAACTTACACCTGTTGGCATTTGTACTCCATTATCCTTCAGCCCCATCCCACCCTTCTACCTAGGAAACCACCAGTCTGTTTCCTGTCTCTGTGGGTTTACCTATTCTGGGCATTTCCTGTGAATGGAATCTTACAATATTGTAGTATTTTATGTCTTGCTTCCTGAACTTAGCTTAATGCTTTACTGTATCCAGTATCATACTTTATTCCTTTTTATAGCTGAATAATATTCGATTGAAAGTTTATACCACAATTTGTTTATCCATTCATTGGTTGATGGACATTTGGGATATTTCTTTTGCAATTATGAATAATGCCTCAAAGAACATTAGGTATAAGTTTTGACATGTACTCATGTATTTGTTTTCTTGGATATATACCTGAGAATGAACTTGCTGGGTCATATGGTAGCTCAGTGTTTTAATTTTCTGAGGGACTGCCAGCATGGGTTTTTTTTGCTGCACGAAGTAGTACATTCCCACCAAGGAGCGTGTGAGAATGCCAGTTTCTTCAGGGCTTCATGAGCACATATTGTCTGTGCTTTTTAAATTATACTCATTCTAATGGGTGGATGTGGTATCTCATTGTGGTTTTGTTATTACTATTATTTTTTATACACTTAAAATCTTAGAACAGTTTTAGATATTCAGAAAAACTGTGAAGAAAGTATAGATAATTTCCATATACCCTGAAACTGCCAATTTTATTTATCAACATCTAACATTAGTGTGGGGCGATTTATTATAATTAGTAAGCCAATACTGATACATTATTTTAACCGAAGACCCCATACTCTTTCACATTTCCTTAGTTTTTACCTACTGTCATTTTTCTGCTCCAGAATTCCATGAAAGATGCATTGTATTTAATAGGCATATCTCCTTAGGCAACTGTGACAGTTTCTTAGACTTTCCTTGTTTTGGATTAATTACCTTGACAATTTTGAGGAGTACCGATCAGGTATTTTATAGAATGCCCCCCAACTGGTATTTCTGTATTGCTTTTCTGATGATTAGATTTGGGTAATGAGTGGAGGGGAGGAAAGCCACTAAAGTAAAAATACAGTTGATGGACTCTTGAACAATATGGTTTTAGCTCAAGGGCCCAGTAATAGTAGATATTTTTTCAATAAATACACATTTGGCCCTTTGTAAATAAATATACATTTATACATTTCAATAAGTATACATTTGGCCCTGGGCTTTGCACCCACAGAGTCAAGCAACCACAGCTCAAAAACAGTATTTTGGGGAATTTGCAGATGGGAGGGTCAACTATATGCGTTCATTGTTCTACACCATTTTACATAAGGGATTTGAGCATTCACAGATTTGCATATATGCAGGGGAATATCCTGGTATCAGTCCTTCACCAGGGATACACAGGGATGTTGAGGGATACACAGTTTAAGTTTTAGGAGTGTCAAAAGTTACATGCGGATTATGACTGTCCAGGGATCAGCGCACCTGTAGCCTGTGTTCAAGGGTCAGCTGTACATTTTCATTATATCATTTCAAGGGTACGTATATTACCAGTGTGATTTATCACTGTTGGTACTAACATTTTATACCTGGTTGAGATTCTGTGTTTAGGGTTTCTCTTCTAAGTTATTCTTTCCCCCTGTTTCCATCTGTACTCTTTGGAAGGAAGAAAGTCAAGGGTAAAGCTCACACTTTAAGGAGTGGGGAATTGTATCTTCTAGAGAACAGGATATCTGTATAAATTATTTCAAATTCTTCTCCACAGAATATTGGTCTATTTTCCCCTGTTTATTTATTGAGTAAATAATTTTGTTGATCATTTTTAATGACCTGAAAGCTAGTAACTTGATTAGGATCTCCACTTTTGTCAAAAGCAAAGAATTGAAAGAGCTAGGCTTAGGAACCCTTCAGGACATCTTGAAACGTTTCAACATCTGAATTATAGGGGTACCAGAAGGGGAAGAGGAACAGCCATGAGTGGAAAACTTTCTCGAACAAATAATAAAAGAGAACTTCCCCAGTCTGGCTAAGGAAATAGACTTCCAGGAAATCCAGGAAGCTCAAAGAGTCCCAAAGAAGTTGGACCCAAGAAGGAACACACCAAGGCACATCATCATTACATTAGCTAAGATTCTAGAAGCAGCAAGAGATAAGGGGACAGTCACCTACAAAGGAGTTCTCATCAGACTGTCAGTGGATTTCTCAAAAGAGACCTTACAGGCGAGAAGGGGCTGGAAAGAAGTATTCCAAGTCATGAAATCCAAAGACCTACATCCAAGATTGATATATACAGCAAAGCTTTCATTTAGAATGGAAGGACAGATAAAGTGTTTCTCAGATAAGATCAAACTCAAGGAGTTCATCATCACCAAGCCCTTATTATATGAAGTGTTAAAGGGACTTACCTAAGAAAAAGAAGATAAAAAATATGAATAGTGAAAGGACAGCAAATTCACAGTTATTAACAACCACACCTAAAACAAAAGCAAACTAAGAGGACAGGTAGATCAAGAGTGAACCATAGAAATGAAGATCCCATGGAGGGTTATCAACAGGGGAGTGGGAGGAGGAGAAGGGGAGAGAAGGCATAGAAAATAAGTAGCATAGATGGTGGGGAGAAAATAGATAGGGGAGAGGGCAAGAATAGTATGGGAAATATAGAATCTAAAGAACTTGAGACACATGGTCATAAACTAAAGGGGGGGCCATGGGTGGAGGAGGGGATGTGCAGGGTGGAGGGGGATGAAGGGGAAATAGAGCAACTGTAATGGCATAGTCAATAAAATATATATATTTTTAAAAAACCAAAAGCTTTCTGGCTTGCACCAGGATTTCTTACCCAGTTCTTACCACGTTGTTTGTTTCACACTTTCTGGGATGTATATACCAAAGGGTCTGTCTGTTCAAGACATATCAAATAAATTATTGATTATGCTCATTACTCATATATTTTGGTACCTTGTTCAATCCAATATACTTAGGAAGTATTGAGAAAATAGGTACAGGGCGGGGCAAAAGTAAGTTTATAGTTGTAAGTACATGAAACACTGTTTATTCTTATCTTTTTACTATATTATTTCTCACACGAGCAACTGTAAGCCCACTTTTGCCCATACCTGTATTATAATGAGACCTTCATTCCTACCACATGTTCTCAGGGATATGTCAGTCAACAGCAGCTTCAGCACTGCATAGCAGGAACTGTTCAATTTGTTAGTTGTTCTACCAGCATAAAGAAAAACTGTTTGTAATCTGTGACCCATTAAGCTACCACATTTTCGTAGTTATAACACTTCTTTGCCACAATGTCCTCTTTAAATTCTTCTCCCATCTTGAAAACATGTAAAGAGGTCTAAGTTTTAACTGGGTCATCTTTTGGTGGTACTGGTTCGTCTTTTGAAATAGTGTAAATGAGAGATTAAAAAAACTCAGGTCAACTAGGAGGGTTCGGCAGTGGGTTTCACTTCTGTATACATCAATTTCAGTTAAATTATGCTAGGCCTGTAAAACCTAAGAATCGCAGTCGATTACCATCTTTCTCTTTCTGCATCTCCATCTATGTATATGAATGTGTATATTTTTAAGAACCAAGTAAATTTAGGTTTTTAAGAGTGAACCCTTTCTACTTCACACACTGCTTAGAGAAGGTATATGCATACACTGGAGGGAAAATGCCCATCTTTAATTCTGCAAAATTCTAAACTTTTCCTTCTTAGTTTCCAGGCAGCCCATAAGCCACATCTTACTTTGTTGTGTGTGCTAGGGGCAGGCCCAACTCACTGAGTATGTACAAAGGGGCAAATAACAGTGTTGCCCATTTTGTCAGAGGTCTCTAATTCTGATTTCCTAGCTCCCTGAAATGCTTCTTAAGTTTTGTTTTTAAACATGTCTTAGCTCTGAAGTACTTTACAGCTTGCTAGTTTGCTGTTTGCGTGTGTGTGTGATTAGTTGGCCTTCATTTTCTTTGGGTGCTCTTACTGTTTACAACCTAATTTTTTATTCAAAATAAGATAGCCATATCATCTGTCAAAGAAACAACAGTAAAAGGTCTCAAGCAGGAACCTGAAGGCTTGTATAGAGTGCTTTAGCCTGTCCCTTTGTCTGTGCTTCCATTCTTCTCTCAGTACTTCTCTACTCTCTGAAAACTTGTACCACAGTTTCTTGCATGGCTTAAAGCAGGAGTGGAGGGAGGTCAGCTCTGTGAATGGTGGTGGTTATGGGAATTGTGCAGTAAGTTGAAAACACTTAAGAACTCTAAGTTTTATCCCAAATTCTTAGTGGTTTAGGTCTGTTCTGTATCGTAACACGTTAAACACTTGCACCGCTGGATTTGGACAACAAGGCCTGATCCTCCATACCCACATTGAGCGTGGCAGCGGTGCTTTTCATTGTGGGAATTGAGATCATGGGGATGGGACCTCAGAGTTCATTTGCTAATTCAGGAAATTTATATCCAGGTACCACCAGACTGTCTAAATGGACAAATGCATCTCTCAGTTACTAAAAAGCAGAGCTTCACGGGGAGCTGTGAATTTATATGGACAGAATGAAACTAAGAAAGAGTGTATGTTGTTTCCTTGATCCCTTCCCCTTTGTTCATAATCTGCAGGAAAACAATCCCTTTAATGGGCTTAAGTAACCTCTTCATTGATAGTTTCATCATTTGTTTGGTCTTTCTGTTTTCACCTACTGTTAACCTTCTCCACCTTCTGCTGTTTTCTCTTCTGGGGGGTAAAAAGTAAATAAAGATTCTAAAACACTTAGTGAAAGTAACAAAAAATGATGACAAAAAGCATATTTTGTACATTCTGACAGTACTGTCTTAGCAGTTTAGTTTTTCCATTCTTTGAAAGCAGGATAAATAATACGTATCTTGCAGAGTTTACCATGCTATAGTTGTAATGCCCGTGTTAAATTATTTTGGTATAACTAATAGACATTTTAAACTGTGTACAACATTTTCTCCAAACCTTTTCCAGTCATGGTACTTACAAAAAAATGAAATGATAGTAATTTGTATATCATAGTGTAGTAAAGTGAAGATGCTTTTTTGGCCAGAAGTTGTTTCAGAGGCTCAAGTTATCGCAAGGCTGACCCACCTTATTGATGAGGGAATGAATACAGATATCATTAACTTGTAATCCATCCACTACATACTGGTTGGGAAATTTTGAATAGGATATTGCTTTTGAATTGCATTAGTAATCTTTGAGGAAAAAAAGATCAATTCTGTTTTGCTCTGTGTTGGCCTTGTTATTAGGCAGGCTTTCATCACTTGGTGACCAAGACAGCCACCTACTCTGTGCTTCCCACACTCAAACTAGAATAAAAGTTCCTTCTGCTGTTAGGTTAGAAAAATGGCGGTTCCCACCAGGGATATGATTGCCCCAGCTTGGGTCACATGCATATCCCCAAACCAGTCATCATGACAAGGTGGATGGAATCACTAGCTGGGATGTCTTCTGTTGTGGGTTCAAGTAGGCTGTTCGTATGGTGTGGCATTGTGCTAGGGGAAGATTAACCCCACCGGAACCAATGGAATGGAATCTTCATCCCCCACCCCCCCCAAAAATAAAAGAGTCTGCTTTCCAGATGAAGGGAAGAAGGGAGAATGTGCTGGGTTAACTATTGTCGCAGTCCACTGTCATAACTGACACTTCTGAAAGCATCATGGAGTTTAAGAGTGTATGGAGGTAGAAGTGAGCTCGTTTTTGGTTGAAGTTTATGATTTACTATTGAAAAAATTGTATTTCACAATATAGTATTTTAATAATATACACAAACTGTAAATCAACTGGGTGAACTCTTGGGGAAAATTCCCTAATTAAATTAACATAGTTCATGTAGACATGTGGCTATTTAAAAATGTTAGTGTTAAATATTCAGTTCCTCAGTTGCACAAGCTACCTTTCAAAGAGCTCAATGGCCACATGTAGCTAGTGGTTACCATATTGGGTAATACGGATGATACATCCCCACCATCACAGAAAGGTGGAAGGATATACAGAGCTGAACTAGACCATTATAGCTGTTTTTTTGTACCATGCTTTCTTCTTATCCTGCTTCTTGCTAACAGGTTTTGTATGTTTTCTTCTGAAGCAGCCTTTATGGAATTGTCTGCTTATGTTTTTCTCTTGCTTCTTAGGCTGTTCTGTCAATCCATTTCCCATTTAGCTGTGATGAGCTAAATGTAATTATTGGAGAAATCCAGAAGAATCTTGGCAGGAAGGGGAAGTTATTTCAAACCTAATAGAAAAGTGTGTGTGTGTGTGTGTGTGTGTGTGTGTGTGTGTGTGTGTGTGTGTGAGTGAGAGAGAGAGAGAGAGAGAGAGAGAGAGATTGATTTTAACTACATATTTGTTAAAGTGCCTTTGTCATAATTTTGTATACTCACCTAACTCTTCACCCTTTTTAGGAAAAGATTTCATCAAATCAAATATCAGTTGCTTGGTTTTCTCCCTTTATTTTTTGCTTGGAGCCAGGAACAAAAAGCTCTTTTGCAATAACACAATCTATAAGCTCTCATCAATGAGAAAAAGTAGAAAAACTTGCTTTTTCTTCCCATTTTTCTTCTTATGTTCATGCACATAGCTTTTAGGGTGGGGGGTCAGAATAATTTGGAGCATATTGTGCTCTTTTGGTTATTTTAATCTAATTGAAACTTTATTACTCATTTGTATCTGTGAGTGAGAATGTATCTCCCATGAGAGAGATGTATATCTATGTCATTCGTTATTATATATCCAACATCTTACTTGGTGCCTCTGGCACCTAGGAAGTGCTAGTAAAAAACAATTTTTGTTTTAATTCAAAAAATGTTTATTGATTTGAGAGAGAAACATCAGTGTGAGAGAAGCATCGATTGGTTGCCTCTCCTATGTGCACCGTCGGGGTGGAACCTGCACCGAGGTATGTGCCCTGACCAGTCATCAAACCCCCAGCCTTTTGCTGTATGGGACAGTGCTCCAACCAATAGAGCTACACTGGCCAGGGCAGTTCTTGGTAAAAATTTCTGAATAAAGATTTCTGTTATTGAGACTAGTTTTTCCCACACTAGCCTGCTGTTTAACTCTGTCTTCTTCCCTTAAAAAAAAATGGAAAAGAAATATATTTGTATGTAATAAGTGTTTTTAGATTGCCTAAGCAGCCATGACCAGAAATAGGTATATAGAATAGCATCTTTTTACCTTCTCTTGTGAAAGAATTCCCTGGAAGCTAAATATTTTTTTGCTTTTTCCTATTGCACTTAACTTGTCATTTTTAAACTGTTATTTGAAAGTCCTCTAGATCTCTACTTTTTGCAGATTGGAACATGTAGCCAGTTGAGACAGTGCCTTCTGCAGTTTCATGCCCAGCAACGTGATCTCATGCTAGACTCACATGTTTCCTCTGCTTTTTGTCTCTTGGTCAGCCTAGCCTGCTGAGTATTGAAAACAAAATTCTATGACACTGTATTTCCATTTCCCTAAGGTCTCAAAATGGTAGTCTTAAATTTAAAAGAATACTTTGAATCCTGTGGATATAAGTATTTGTAGCTGACCCTTTTTTCCTGTTTCCAGGACTATACTGTTAAGTGTAATCTCATTGCTTAATGAGCCCAACACCTTCTCCCCAGCCAATGTGGATGCTTCAGTTATGTTCAGGAAATGGAGGGACAGTAAAGGAAAAGACAAAGAATATGCTGAAATCATTAGGTAAGGTGGTTTGATTAGGTCTTTGGTTTGATTAGTAACTTCAAGTCCTTATACTTAGAACCAAATATCCTAGAGCCAGGGGTTTAAATTGAACTTCATTGTCTACTCAATTTCTCTGTTAGATTTATTGTTTGGGAAGAGCGTGTGCCTTTTGAGAAAACATATACTACAAGATAATGCAGTAAATCTGATTTCCTGGGAACCAAAATTAGGTTCTGAGCCAGTCAAGTTTGCAAACTCTCCCTTGTAATCATTTTGGGGATGATTATATTGTTCTGGGCTTTCAGCATGTCCGTTAAGTATAGCAAGTACCCAAGGTATTCCAGATATTCCAGGTACTTTTGTTTTCAAAAATTTTATTAACGAAGCCCTATTATTTATTGGCCCTTTGGACCATAGTAGCAAATCATCTTCTGGGTATCATTTCTCTGCCCTAGAATAAGAATCTTGAGACTTGGAATCTACTCCTACGCCACCCTTCATGTGACCCTTTTATCAGTTAACTTTGGGGATCTTTAGTTTTTCTGTGTAAAAGGAAATAAAAGTAAAAAGTATTAGGCTCTTGATACTTTCCTGAGTAGGACAAAATTTTCATAACAGTACCCAAGAATTGGTACTTCAATTACAGTAAATTCCATTCCCCTGAATACAATGCGTTTTTTTATATACCCTTAAAATAGAGTTCCAAGGGCAGTTCTAGCAAGTTATGTGCATAGTTTAGTAAGCACCAAAATTTTTACAATAGGTCTCCTCTCTATAAATTTAGTCAGCATGATACAAATGAGGAAAATAAAAGTAAAGGAGATAGTGGTAAGTAGGATAATGTGAAGGAGTGATGAGATGGCTGTTTTAAATTGGGTCTTCAGAACAAGCCACAAGTAAGGTGATACTTGTGACAAGAATAATGACAAACAAAAACAAGCAATGAAATGCTTCTCATCTGATAGCTGAATAATGTAGATTAGCTGTTCTCAGTTTTGCGCCCACTGGAAACACCTTTAGAACCATCCCTCCCTAATCCTTAGTCATTTGATGAGATTACAGGGATAGAATCTAGACACCTGTTTTGTATCAGACACCAAGGTGACTGTTATAGACCAAAGACCGAAGATATTAATGTAAATAGTGAGGGCCTGTAGAGGAGCAGGAGTGGTTGAAAATTCAAGATAAGAATGCTTCATAAAACAGGATTGGAGCCCAGTATTCAAGGAAAGGTAGGATTTAGTGAGTGAATAATGCCTAAATATTCCTGAGATGTTTGTATTCTTCGTATTTCTTAATTTAGGGGTTCATTTTACTTAATTCACATTTATTATGCACCAGCCTGTGTCATGTACTCTACTAAGTCATTAAGCTGTATTGTCTTTATTCCTGGGAACCTCACGCTTAGCAAATAGGTGACCATATGAGTGCAGCTGTAGAAGCGTAAGGTAACAGTAGGAAGAAATATGTGCTGCTATGGAATTCTTAGAGATAATGCCTCATAAATAAGAATTTTTACAGTAAAGGGGGGAAGGAAAAGGCCTCTTCAGGGAGACAGAACCATGATTGCTAAACACAGGTGTTTAACAGCTGGGCACATCAATTCTGATTTGGGAAGTAATGGGAAATTAAGAGACCTCAATCAGGTCTTAAAAAAAATCCAAGTGAGATAACTAGGAGAAAAAAAATGTGAGATATGCTGTTTTTCAAAAGGTCATAGTCTCTTTCAGGATGGCACCTGAGTCTGAGATCAGCTTTTGGTGTAGTAGAGGCTCTCACATGCTTTCAGGCAGGTACTAAAAGTTTAGAAGTCTGAGTCATAAGAATCTTGATTATTTAGAAATGCTAATTTTTAAATTCATCTTCAAGACATACTTACATAAACTATCCTCCTCCTCCCTCCAGGAAACAGGTTTCAGCCACTAAAGCCGAAGCAGAAAAAGACGGAGTGAAAGTCCCCACAACCCTGGCGGAATACTGCATCAAAACTAAAGTGCCTTCCAATGACAACAGCTCAGATTTGCTTTATGACTTGTATGACGACGACATTGATGATGAAGATGAGGAGGAGGAAGATGCCGACTGTTACGACGATGACGATTCTGGGAATGAGGAGTCGTGACGTGCTCCTTCAAGAAGCCCCTGTACTGCCCTGCCATCTCAGGCCAAAGGGAGGGGAGCAATGGGGACCTAGCAGTGGCCCCTCAGCAAAAACCTATCACAGGGGGTGGGGAAAACAAACACGGCTCCTGCTGACTCCCCTTATGGATCTCAGTTTGCTCCTTTTTATGGACCTCTTAATGGAGAGAAGGTAATCCTCCACAGAATGTCTGAATTCTTGCATTCTTTACCCTTCCATCACTGTATTGATTTTTTTCCCCCTTCGGACCCAAACCCCTGCCTCACTTCGTCTCCACAAAGTGTTCACAGCAAAACATGTTTGGTCTGTTTTTAGATTCTTGAAGAATTAAATAGTCTTTCATCAAGATGTTTAATGTGATTAAAGCTGGGAACCCATTGGGAGTTCACAAGTACTGCATATGCTGGTAGCAAAAGAAAATGGGGGGAAAAAACGTAAAAATCCCACAGAACAAACTTTAGAAAAAATTGCCAAGGTTTAGCTGCTCCATTTACATTAGTGTGCGTGCATTTGTTCAACCCCATGGTGGTGAATTTTCTTTCTTTCTCGTTTTAAAAGTCCGGGGTATGGTGGGCATCAGGGACTCTGTGCGAAGACTGATGAAATGTGTTCCTAAGGGCACAGAGCTCCTTCAGCTTCCAGGAAATCATCCTAACGCAGAGGCCTCAGCTGCTCTGAGGATAGAAATCAGATTTTGGTTTTTGAAATCAATTGGGATCTAAAGCTTGAAATAAATATTCATACTTTGCATAGACCTGAGCACTTGATTGCTATTTATTTTAAAGGCAGAGCTCCCCCCCCCCAAAAAAAAGTGGGGAAAGAGTGGGGATTAGTGTGTTTGTGTGTGTGTGGAGTCTTAGTGATGGCAACAAAGAATTAAAAATCACTATGCCAATTTTGGTTGATGCTGCTGGGGGGAACAAAGTAAAAACTACTGGTGACCACTGTTGGGAGAGAGAACATGTTTTATATATTTAAAAAGGCCTTTCCCTCAAAGATAGACTCTCACCATGAGGATTTCTTTAACTAGCCAGCCAGTTTTAATTACTCAGTATTAATAATAGGTGCATGTATTAAGATTTTTGTTTCCATTGAGCTAGTGATAACTGTGGATATATGTGAGACATGAGTGACTGGTTTACCTTTGGATGTGACCTGGACTTTGCTCTCCTTTCAATATACTCTGGCTGTGGAGCGCAAGCAGAAGTTGTGCATGGAGCTTGCCCTGGGCTTGTTTTGACACTTCTGGCAGGGCCGAGGGAGTTGGCAGCAGGCAGTGTCTGGGTGATGCTAGAGCTTCTTGCCATGCAATTGCTGCAGCTTTGATTTTTCTTGGTCTCAGTCATGTGTTTGTCAATCAGTTCTGAGATCCGTCAGCCTTCACCAACCAGGGACTTCAGAACTTGATGGTGATTTTTGTTTCTTATGGGAGTTGGCCAGTTCATACAAGAGCAGTGTTCTTTCAGTGGGGAAAATCATTAAACTGTAAAATCACAGGTTTTGGAAGGAAAATACAGCAAAGACCAACTATAATCCTATTGCAGATCCCCATGCACTAATGTCAACTCCTTTTCTTCAGATCTTTAGCTCAGAAAGAACAAAAGGGTTGATGAAGGACAGGGTAGGATGGATTCTAGAACAGAGTAGGTGATGCTTACTTCCTTAGCTCCTCCTTCCTTTCTGATCTCAGGGTTTTCATTAGCTCTTCAAACTCTCCAAACGTTTGCTAATTCCCAGCAACTCTCTGGCCTCTGAAGTTTGATCTAATACTGAGAATATTTAATGCGCTTAGGTTCAAGATCCCCATGGGGCCAGGGGTACTTGCACCCTTGAATTTAGTGACTCCAGTCAGTTTCAGAAAACAGCAGTTCTCTATGACAAAATAGACTGCAGACTTTGCTAAGAAGGATCATCCTTCTTAGACTTCCCATGCTTCTTAAGTAATGTTTCCAAATAACCAGCAAACCTCCTGGAGCCCAGTGTCTCATAATGCTGATTACCCCCCACCCACCACCCCCAGAGACACACGCACACGCGCGTGTTTACAGCTGGTAGCTTGGTCTAACTCTATCAGAGCCCTAAAATTAAGCTTTTCCCTTACTGCTAAAGCATCTCTTTCCCAGGGCAGGCCAGGCATCTTGGCATATGTGGGAGGTGCTATGCTGCCCAGCCCTGTTCCATTAGGCCCTGTTGGCCTGTTGCACGTTGACTCAGGGAGCCAGAGAGCCAGGTGGAGGTTGAACCTCTCAGCCCTTTGGGGTGTCACTATTTAAGGCTGGGTTTGTGTCTGATAAGAGTACAATCAGAAAAGACTGGGGTATGTTGATTTGCAAGCAGGTAGACATTCTTTCTGATGGCTCACACTGACTTATAAAATCCAGATGCTGGTTCCAGAGCTCTGTCTTGAGCACATATCCTGTGGCAAAAGAAAATGAGCTTGTAACTTTCTTTTCAGCAGTTGAGCTCTCAGGCTGGAAGCTTGTGGTCATTTGGTATAACAAGCTCAAGTCCTGCATTTTTAGATTCCTTTTGATTCTAGTGGAGGCCTCTCTGGGTGCTCTTCAGGTCTATGTTTCTTGAGGCTGGGTGGAGAAAATATAGTATCATGATTCCGTTGTTGCTTCTCAAAGTCTTCCCCTTTCTATTTCATGTCATTCCAGAGTTCTTTTCCAAGCCAGACGGGTTTTTTTCTTCCCCCTTTTCCTTTTTTTTGGTAGTATCTCCTTTCCTCTTCCCTGGTAATTATTTGTTTATTTGCTATCCTCCTCCCTGGTAATTGTTAATTTGCTACTTCCTTATTTTGGGGACACTTATAGTAAGAGACTGAAGGGGAAAATGTGTAGTTCTCTGCTGAAAATTAACTCTCCACCCCTCCTCCCATCCTGATTTTTTTAAAAAAGTTTACATTTACAAAAAGATTCAGATGCAATTTTCAACTCTTCTGAAACCAGCAGGTCACACCTGACTCAATAGTTTTCTTAGCTGAAATTGTAGGTGTTTTTCTTCAGTTTAACTTATGAGAAAAGAATATCTGATGCATTTTGTGTTGAACTTCCCCTTTAGTGGTTTATTTTGTCTTTTTCTGCCCATCTGTCTACTAATAAAATGTGAAATAAAATATACCTGTATTGCTACTTCCCCATGGGATGACCCTCTTTTTTTTCCTTTTGTTAAAATTAAAGGTGGTCTCAGTATTTCTGCTGTTCCCTTTGCAGATTATGCCCAGGACTCAGCTGATAAACAACAAAAACCAACTCTGGCTGACCTGCCTTTCATGACATTCAGTTCAGTTCACCTTGCAGAATATTCCCAGTCCTTACCTAGCTTTAAGAAAGGTTATTAAAGACACAGCCATTTGTTAACCGTAATTCTGAAATAGGGCACAATCTGCCAGCACAAGTAGGTCAGTGGAAGGGATGGAGAGGTGCTCCACTGCCCTCCTTAGAAGGGCATTTGTTTTCACTGTCACGTACCTTGCAAACTTCCTGCTGATAAAAGCAAGGATCAAGCAAGAGATCACAGTTTAATAAAAGTTCCCATTTAGTTTCAGTTGTGGACACTTACCTGTTATTTTTAAAAGCCGAGATCCCAAGCTGTGGATTAACAGCAGTGCATGTCCAATATGATGAAATGACCATTGAGGCGAAGGCAGAAAAGGTAGAGTGGCCCTGGGCTGGTTTTAGCATATTGATTTGACCAATACTTGACTTGAAGCAGTACTCATTTTATTTACTTATTACTAAGTCTGAGTTGCTAGCCAGATTGTAGAATAGTTGTGCCTCAGACAAATAGTGAAAGCCACCTCCTGCCAGACACACAGGAATAGTTTATGACCCTGGCTCCTCTGTGCCTGGTGGCCTGGAAGTAATAGGACTGGACTAGTTCAGGGGGAATCAGAATCCTGGTCCCAGGTGGATGGTTTCGTGTGATTATCTGGAGCATATATTTAGCCCGGGATCCGCTTACCCACTTCATACCACCCTGGCTCCTTAGTCACCTGTTCCACCACAGACCTGACTGTCAGACAAGACTGATTGATTGGTTGATGTTAGCTGTTCAAACATATGCCTAGAACCATGTTGGTAATTATTACCTTTGGTCTTTGGGAAAGAAATTACCCTGCTCTGGCGTTCTTGCTGATGGAATCTGTGCGAGACTGCAAAGTTGACTCTGATAAGCACTTCCTGTGCCTGTCAGGAGCTTTTGCTGTCTTTTCAGCTATATCATTTATCGTCCACTCCCTGGATGCTGACTGGGGCCAAGGCAAGAGAAGGGCCAAGCAAAGAAAGGAATACTGATTTAAGCCTTCACAAACTGTTGTCAGGAAGATTGTGACCACGTGAGCTCTTCTTCAGCCCTGTGGAGTCCGAGAGTCCCTGGAACCATAATGAAGACAGCCTCGACCCTGGGCTATCCTTTATCACACCACACAGAGACTGTGCATGCTCTCAGAACTTTATTAGGTGGACTTTGGGCAAAAGAGAAAACCCCTGAAGCAGTTGCCCACCTGGTTCAGGACAACTGGAATTAGAGGAGCCTTTGCATGGAGACGTGCTCTCACGGAGCATATCTTTGATTTTTTTTACAAGGGGAGCTGACTGGCTGAACATCTCTGAGCACAAAATCAATTATTAAAATGGTCAACCAGAGGAAGGCAAGTCTTTGGGGGACAAGACTAGACCAGAAGCAGATGCTCCTGCTCTGTGTGCCAGTTGGATGTTGTGGGGGGGGTGTCTGCTATTCCTAGATCAAGATTTGGCAGGAGGGAAACATGACGATGACTAAAGGACCAGTTTCTCCATAAGAGGGGTAAAGTAATTACACAGGAAAGAAAACTCAAATAATGGTTTACAAGGGCACGAGATAAGTCTTGATTCTTCATTGGTACCTGACCCCTTTTTTTACCCAACTGCCTTAATCCAGCCTTTCCAAACACTGCCCCTAGCAACCTCCTGGCAGAGGGGCTATGTGGAAGGCTTGAAGGCAGAGGGGGCAAGGGGACTTATTTTGCTATAGTGAAAGGGGCTTGAGTGGGCAGCAGCACCTGCAACTCTTCCACTTCCCCCAAGATTTGTCACATTTACAAATACATACATAAATACATTACATACAAGCAAGTCTGGGAGGGAGGCTCCCCGCAGAGGCTGGGCTGACATACACGTCTCAGGAATTCTAGGAAAGGGTGCTGTGCTCCCAAAAATGGGCTCCATGTGTTCTCTCCTGCCCAGGGCAAGCCCTCCCCCAGCCCACCCACTCTTAAGGGTTCAGTTTGTCCAGTACGGAGAGTTGCCGTAGGTAGGTTTAGAGGCTTGTGACTTGGGCTGCAAGGAGCTGGGCTGGCTGCGCTGACCCGAGCCACTCTGAGAAAGGAGGAGGAGAAGAAGGAGAGAAGGCTGTCAAGGCTGCAGCAGAACCCCAAACCCAGGGCAGGGTGGCTGCCGCCATCAGTGAGCTCACCTGGGCATCCTGGGGAAGGTGGTGGTGTAAGAGCTGTGAGTGAGGCTGCTGGTGGGCAGGCAGGATGTGCAAGAATGGTGGAGGTGCATAACCTGGAGCTGCTCCAGGGGCCAGAGGCCCAGTGGAACCCAAGGCTGAGGGCAGGCTGAATGGTGGAGGGGTCCCTGCATGAAATCCTTGCTTGTCAAAAGTCTGTAGGGCAAAGAGATAATGTTGAGGACCAGCCTGGGTTACAACTCCCACAAACCAGTGCACCCACCTGTTCCTCCCTCACCTGAGTGGTCTTGTAGACAGAACCAGTCATATCAGGCAGGCCAGTGGTGCTTGAAGACACGGACACTCCTAGGGGAAAAAGCAGTTGTTCCCACAGCAGTTGGTCGCAGCTCCAGCCACCCCACCTCCAGGGGCACTCTGAGGTAGCCTTGCCTGAGAAGGAGTCAGGGAGGAGATAACTACTCTGGGCCTCAATCCTGGAAAGGAGGGGCAGACGCTACCTTTGCCAGGCCCAGAACCTGCAGACTTGTTTTGTGTCTGTGATGATCCACCATAGCCACCCTTGGTGTAGTCTCCCGCTGCTGTCCCCTGGGTCAGGTCATCATAACCTAGCATAGCAGGGTACAAGAGGCATGTGTGAGCTAGGCAAGCCTGTCCTACCCGTGTCTCTGTGCTGAGAGCACCCCTCACCTGTGCTGTAGCTGTGCTGGCCATAACCACTGGCCTGCTGGAAAGGAGCGGTGGGGGTGCTCAGGTTCACACCATGCTGCTTGGCTGAGGCTGGAGGGACCTGGTGGGGCAAGTAGGAGAGGCATAAGAGGAGCAGATCAGGTACCCCTGGCTTAGTGTAAGGCAGCAGGTGGCACAATCTCAAGGGACCAGTGTTTGTGAGTGATTCAACACATGCTGGATATAAAAATACATAGAGAAGCAACCTTTACCCCCAGCCCAAACATTCTTGAAGGCCAGGTGAAACTCAGTAGGGTCATGTCCCTGTTTCTCTGCTTCTCCCCACAGCTGAAACTACAGTTCCCACAGATACTCACAAACATGGTGGGCCCATACTGGAAGGCACTGGGCACGCCTGTGTAGTAGGGGAGGCCAGTGTAGCTGTAGCCGTGTGGCAGTGCAGGATTCAGAAAGGGTTGTTGGGGGGTGTGGTGGGCCTGGGACTGGCTCTGCTGTGCCTGAGCCAGTGTGGTGGGGGGCGCAGGGGATGCAGAGTCACCTCGGCCAAACTTTGTGACATCACCTAGGAGAAGAGGAACACTTTCTAGTCACTGTTCTTATCCAACCAAGAAAAAAAGCCAGGCTGCTTCCTGCAAACCAGAATAGGCCTGGCTATAGGCTCAACATTGGGAAGCAAGCAGGCCTCTCTTAGCCCTTCTGTTTCCAAATGCTTGGGATTAGCTACAGGCCAGTCTGATGTCCACCCCCACCCCACCCCCGTCTTCTGAACCAAGACTAACCTGAATATGGGTTATTAGTGAGACTCCCATCTCGGCTGGCAAGGGCTGTGGGCGTAGCAAAGGGAATTCCGTAGTAATCCTAGGAGAGACCAGGGAGGCTTCATAAGCACAACAGCCTTGCCCCACTTCCTGGACAGCGGGCCCCACAGGCAGCATAGGTACTCTGTGTGGTGCTGCATTCCTGGGAAAAGCTAGGCCCCAGGGACATCACATGCACATTCACAAAGTAAACGGTGCTCTCTGGAGTGGTACAATGTGGCAGCCACAAAGCACACAGCACGCAGACATCCTGACCAACTGTCACAGCCTTCCACAGGCAGAACCACGGGAGGCCCAATCTAACATGCCCACTTTACACTGCAGATGGAGGCTGGTGAATGCTAGTGGCAGAAACAACTCTGCTGGCATTTCCTACGTGAGAGATGCTAAAAAGGAGCCATGAAAGTTGGCAGTAGAAACCAGAAGTCTGCAGGAGGTGAGGTGCCTAGAGGGTTTAATGGGTCAGGGCAACAATACCGGGTAGGCACAAGTACAAGCAGGACCCCAGGTTAAGGTGCTGAACTCGTCTCTCATCACCACTCTGCCCCGGCAACACTGACACCCCACAGGAGACAGGGGAGGTATGGATACCAAGAGGGCAAAAGACGGCGGAGCTCTGTGGAAAAGGGGAGGCCTGCCCCGACCCTTACTATCCAGGACTTTGTAGTCGCAAACATCCCACACCCTGGCCTGAGCCAAGGGAAGGCCCTTCTGCTTTCACCGTGGGCAACAGTGCCTGGTCAGAACCATCTGGGCTAAGAATGGCACCTACACTCTCCTTCAGCCTCATTTTCCAGAAAACTTGTAGCATCCTCAGCCCAGGACCCCAGGAGGAGACAGGGCTAGGAAAACACAGAGCCAGCAGAGGAACAGCTGGGAACAGGCCTGAAGAAAGCCTGGTGTGGGAAGCTTTTTCACAGAAGAAAACCCAAAGGTGGGAACAGAAGAGTGGCAGAGGCTAAGGAATGACCAAGGGGGAAAGGAAAAGTGCTGTATCTCAAAAGGTAGACTCCGAAGTGATTTCTTCTAATGCACAAAACAATAAAAGAAATACAAGGCAGATGACTCCTAGGGCTGGGATTCCAATGAGCCACTACTTGCGGGTCTGACTAGGACCCACCTGCAGTGGCACTCAGGGCCACATGGTTGTGAGCAGGGAGTCCGGGACCACTTCCGGCTTGCCCACAGAGCCCTAAGGCTCAGAAATCCCCTCATGCTTTCAACAACCTTTCACTGGGGATGTACGGCCTCTCTTCTGAGGCTGCAGCAACCAGGGAGATGCTGGGCTAGCACTCTTGCAAACAGTGATGGCAGGTTAGACCCAGAAGGGCCCTTAAAGACTGTCAGCCCTAGCCACTCAGCTTCGGACAGATGAGCAGGTGCCATCACAAGCTTTACCAATGCCCACTGCAGAAGCCAAAGACACTGAATGGCACTCTGAAGAAAATTAACAACCCTACAGTCAGGCAAACACCACCACTCTTGTTTCATATAGATCCTTCTTTTTAAGGGGAAGATGAGAGAAAAGAATGACCCACAGTTAGTACAGGTGCTACCTACTGGGACTCCAGGTCCCAGTGGTCTTTATGTTCCCCAAGGATGAGCACAGGACACTCATATGCCCAGATGTACCCGCACGAGTAACAAAAGGAAGCAGCTTCCTCAGCCTGAGGCTGTGTTCTGAGGGCCAGACAGGATGGCAATCAGGGCAAAGGGAGGAAGGACCAGTAAAAGAGCCTCAATCCCCCCACCCCCACAAGCCATACCCCACTCACCACTGGCAGCCGAGACTGCAGCATCTGGAGCTCATCATAGCCATAGATCTGGGTGAAGACCAAAAAGGGTGTTAGGGACCATATATTACCCCTGGGAAGCCCAGGCCAATGTGGGGGCCTACCAGGATGGGAGGATAGGACACACACAGGAGGGGGCCTGGATGAGCTGCTCTGAAAAGACACCCTATGGATACAGCTGATGAAGCCTGGATGGGGGAGAAATACTAGAGGTACACCTGGCAGAGCTGGAAGGGCTCCGGGAAGGAGTGGCAGCACCCCACAGCCTCCTTTACCGGGTTCTGCTGAGTACCAGCCCCACTGCGCAGGGGGAGCCAGGCCTAGCCGGGGGCGCCACCGTGCACTCACCGGGTAGGCAGGAAGCAGTCCTCCAGGGCCCACGAGGTACTGGTTGTGCAGCAGGGGAGGCACTCCCTGGGGCAGGTTGGGGGGCGCTTTGCCTAAGAAAAGTCAAGAAAAGTAAAGAGGCCACCACAAACAGTAAGATTCCTCGGCTACTGTGGGGCTAGGAGTGTTGAGTTCCTGATCATTGTCCTGCCCTAATTGAGGCCACAGCCAAGAAGGCAGCAGCTGAGAGATACAGAGGGCTGTGCTTGTCCTACCTTCAGGCTGTTCCCATGCTGGGACAGAAACACTGCCCCCACCCCACCACTCCCGAAGGTCACACTGCACTGGACAAACCTCAACATAAAGAACAAGAGTCCTCCTCAGAACAGAAAGAATGCTGGGCATTGCCAGAAGAGGGATGAGGCATGTCAAAGGTGGGTTTTAGCAGTTCCTACCAAACTACAGTTTGCTTGGCTCACACAGACTGCCCCAGGGTGGCTGACAGGCAATCAGTTACATAAAACGACCAGGAGCCAATGATATCTGCTCCCTGGCCCCCCTACATCACCATGTCACTGCAGTGCCAGGGATGAGTGAGAACAGAAAAGACTGGGGAGCTAGAAGCACAAAGGCTGCCAGGAATCCTGCCCAGGGGAGCCCACCCAGAAAGACCAATTTCACCCACCCCCACCCACATCTGGGTGGAAGGACTGGGCTTCGAGAGGTCAGTGGAACAAAGAGGTAAGGTCGCCAAAGCAGGCTGGACGAAGACTGCGATCCCCTGAGGGGCATGGCATCCTGACAACCTCTGGGCCTCCCAGGGAAGCCAAGTGTGCACCTTTGTAGGTGGGAAAGGCCTCCGGGGCACACACCTGAGGTCACCAAGGGCGTGGCTCTGGTACTGCTGGGGGCGCTCACAGTGGTCCCGCCCAGGCAGAGGCTATTCCCCGTGTTCATGCTGCTGAGCCCTGAGGACGTGGCACTCGAGACGGAGGTTGCTGCTGTTGAGAAGGTGGCTGAGGACTGGAGGGGAGGAGTGCTCTCCACACTGGCGTGCTGGCAAAATAAAAAAGCAGGACAAATGGATCTGGGGGAAAGCATGAGGGGCTGGAGAACCTGGCCTGGCATCTGGGCCTGCAGTGTTGAGATTCTGACCTGAGGGGCTCTGTGCTCACTGCTCGTACGACCACACATCAGCCTCTGTAGCCCCTCACGCGGCAGTCAGGTGAGGCCATCAGAACACAAGTTTTAAGTATCAGGACTATTAAAGCTGAGCTTTATAATCAAAACTACTAAAAATTCTTACAGTTGCTCAAGCTCTGGTATATGCCACAGGGCACTGAAACCCCAAGTGAACAGTAAATGAACACAGACCGTCTGAGAACGGTCTCAGACAAGAACCCACCTCACAGAAAGCAAGGAGTCTCAGGAGAGATGAAAAGAGACCACAGGCAGCCCAGCCCAAGTCAGAGCCTTCTGGGGACGGCCTTCCATAGGCTACTCTGATCTGGAAGTCACAGGTGGCTGAGAGGCCTTTGCTCCAGAACCTGGTGACATTCTGCAGGCCACCAGGGCCTACCTGGAAGGGCATGGCCTGCCCCAATGCCTACTCAGTATGATCACCTAGAAAGGAAGGGTGAAACCAGAAGAAAGCTCTGAAGAGTCTGTGTTACAGGAACCCTGCTCAGTTGCTCGGCTCTGGCTGGCAATAATGTGGAAGAGATGCCCCTGGTGGGGCAAAGCAAGGCCCAAAGAAGGAGGGAAAGGCTGTAGAAGACTGAGACCAGCCTCCAAACCTGAATGTGTGCAGAACAAAGAATCCCAGAAACTCCTGAAGGAGAAACCAGAGAACAGGAAGCCTCGGGAGGAACGGGAGGGACCGCCAAACGCTGGGCTTCCCATCGCACAGATGGCTCTGCAGGTCTCGTCCCCACAGGCTGCCCAACCCAGTGGCCTGAGAGCCCTAACATTCAGAACTGGTTCTATAAGATAAAGAGAGGGAAAATCATGTTCTCCTGGGACTCCCCAGGACTCCTGTTCCTTCAGCCTAGACAGACAGAACCAGGGTGAGAAGAACCCAAGGAGGAGGGCAAAGGCTGTGCAGAGTGCTCCGCAGAGCAGGGCAGACCAGGCCAGAACGCTCCGCGGTCCTCTGCGCGGGTCCAGGCTTCCCGCCAAGAGCAGCTTTCTAGGGAACCAGTTCCTGGTTTGCTGAAAGGAACTCAAGAGGTATTCAGCTGCATCAAGCTGACCCTGACAGGGCTTTCATCTCCGCCCCCCACATCCCAGACCTGTGAGGGCAACACACTCCCGCAGTAACAGGCCTCCATCTCATTTAAAGGGCTCGCTCAGTACATCCGATGGGGCTGTGCAGTCAGCTCCTCAGGAGGGGCCCACGAGAGTTAGGCCACACCAAACCTTCCACAAGGACACAAAGGTCAGGAGAAAACAAGACTTCCCCATAACTTTCAAGGGGGGGGAAGACCTAACTTATATAATATGACTAGGAAAGAGGGACTGATATATCTGACTATATAAAAATCAAAGACATTTATAAAACGACAAGTGTAGGGAAACTATCTGTACTCTACATTCGAGGGCTACTTACCAGGCCCCCAAAGGTAGAGGAACTGACACCAAGGACCTGACAAACAACAATAGAAATTGCTCTCAAAAAGGAAAAATAATGGCTTTCCAATATGTTTAAAAAAAAAAAAGGGATGGTCAACCTCATTCAATTAAAAATTATACTGTCAGGTCATTTTTCTATTAACACAATGGAAAAACGGAGATATTAAATAACACCATTTTGGGAGGCAGCAGAGAAACAGGACATTTCCTTCACTGCCAGTGGGAGGTAAACAGGTTGGAATCACTATACTTGGCAATTTGTACAGAATGACAAATGCCTAGCAATTCCACACTAGGATTTACCCTGTAGATACTGCTGCAGAATGAAACACCGTATGCAAAAGGTTATCAAATGAACACTGTAGCATCAAGACTGAAAATGGTCCTAAAGTTCGATCAGTGGAGGACTGATTAAGCACCGTAACTAAGGAGAGCTGCGGAAAGAGAATGAGAACTCTGTTTCAACCCAGAAACATCTCAAAGACACACCTGTTAAGGGGGAAATAGAGAAGGGCACTATGTACAAAATACCCCATTTCTGTTATAGAAAAGGGCAAAGAAAAATGACTATTTTATAGGTTAAAAACAACTCTAGATGATCAAGCAAACAGGAGAAAGAGGGGTAGAATCAAGCAGATTAGAGACAGAAAGACTTCAGTATATACCGTATTTTTCAGACCATAAGATGCACCTAGGTTTTAGAGGAGGAAAATAGAGAAAAAAATTTTGAAACAAAAAATGTAGTAAAATATTTAATAACATAAATAACATCATACTTGACCAATGTAAATGCAAACAGAACTCAAAAGCAGCATTAACAACCATTATTCCTCCCAAATGGTGGGGGGGGGGTGGTCTTATAGTCTGAAAAATACAGTACCTTTTTATACTCGTCATTAATGACTCTGACAACTATGGTAGCAATGTGGCAATTCTGTCACATTGACAAAGTGTCAGACACTCTGGACAAGGCAATATTGGCCACGGCCATTTGGATAGTATAATCTGGAGTTTCTTGCCAAGACACAGAGGGCTGTGAACCCATGCAAATGACAGCGCCGGGCTCCAATGCACCAGGGAACAGAGGCGGCTCACAGCTCCCACTATCATGGGCACAGGCAGGTGCGCAGGGGCATCACCTTGTGCTCTGGGGTGAAGATGGTGCTCTGTGTGTTTTATGACAAAAAACCATTCCTAACATTTCACTTGGAAAACTAGTGTCTGAAAGCCTGTGAGTTGCCCAGATCGTGATGGAAGGACAGAACCGACCCTTTTCCATGACCTCCTTCTGCAGCAAATGAGTAGATCTCTTCTTCAAAAGAAACAAATTTCCCCAATTTTCTGACTCCTCCATTCATTGGTACTCCTTCCACTCCAAACTTGGAGAGAGACATTTGTTCTTTTTTTCAGGTACCTTTCTTTGCACCAATCCTTATGCTCGTGTCTCTCCCAGCATTTAGTTAATAGCGTCTCACTGCCCCGCTGCATCTCAATTTCCCAACTACTCATGCTTCAACCACCACAACCCAGACAGATAGATTCCCACCGCCAAAACCATGCTCTCAACTTCAAACCCCGAGAAGCCACAATAACCACCATATAGGGCTACGCGCTGGCACATCAGGGCTTCCAGTGGGCGTCCGCCTGTGCTCCCACTCTTGCCTCTCTACACTCCTGCTTTGTTTATCACTGTCACCCTTCCTAAAGCCTCTGCCTTTCGGTTGGGATAAATGGCCTGAGATGGCCAAAGCTAACAGTGAACAGAATAGCTACTGCCACAACTAGGACAGTCCCCATGACCACCAACCAACTGGAATGTAGCTACACCGACTGGGGTAAGAGCCAGGGCCATCCATCTCAGAGAGCTATGTGTGTGCACATGGCGAAGGATGGATATTCTGACATTGGGCTGCACAAACTAACAGAGGGTTAGCCAAGAAAAATGGCCTTGTTTAAAGTGGACTTTTAGTGGAGCCCAAGCTAAAGTTAACAATGAGTCCACTTTCTTCTAAAAGCTTGCAAATAGCTCAACATAACATTTCCCAGAAAATAAGTCACCCCCGCTAGGCAGAAAGGTCTCCTGTAACGAACAGGAAGTTCAGTGAATTCTTGGGATTAAACTCACCACCCATCACATACCAGGTCTGGAGAAGCAACTTCTCCACAGAGGCATGAACTTAGAAAGCAAAATGTCTTCCACGGTGCTCCAAACACATACTTAGATTGAGACATCATAGCCACACAATTTCAGAATATCTCAGATATTTAAAACCCACAAACCAGAGGCCCACATGCAGGTGACTAAGCTCCAGGCTCACTGAGCAGGGTGGTGGAGGGGGAGCCAAGAGGATACTTACCGTGTGTGATGTGCTGGAGGAGAGGCTGCTCTGATGGCTGGGAAGTGAGCTAGAAGACAAAACAGAGCACCACATACATCCACCCACGTCACTCCACAGGAATGGAGCCCCCCCATGTCTGGGCGAGCAGGATATTCACTTGCCCCGTCCCTTCAGCGGAAGCTTCAGTTTCACACCCATCACCTGGAAACCCAGTCCAGGGGGTCTGGTGGTTAGAATGATCTAAAGGATCACCCGCCACAAGGCTCAGGAACATCCTGTCCTGGGAAACCTCCAGGCCAGCTTCAGTCAGCTGTAACTATGTGCTCTTTATACTGGAAAAAGAATAGGATGGCACTAAGAACACTCAGTCATAGAGACCCCATTACATCTGTGTGTCGGAAGAAAGTTCCTAAGTTCAACTGCACATGCCAGATTCAGAGCCAGAAGTGCCATCAAATCCAGAATTCAATTCAAATGCTTTTGCTCTTGGCTTAAAGCAAGAAAGAGGTGAATTCTCCTTAGAAGACACAGTGTGATGCCCTGACTGGTGTGGCTCGGTTGGTTGAGCCTCATCCTGCAAAGTGAAAGGTTATTGGTTTGCTCCCAGTCAGGGCACATGCCTGGGTCGCAGGCCGGTCCCTGGCTGGGGGTGAGCTAGAAGCAATAGATTGATGTTTCTGTCTCTAACATCGATGTTTCTCTCCCTTCCCTGTTCCCCTCTCTCCGAAAATAAATCAATAAAATATTGGACAGGGTTGGGGAGACACAAGGTGAGAACCAAATGAAACCCATTCTCCTACACCCTGTTGTAGTAACTTGATCTGTGAAACCATGACAAGTGCAAGTCGCAGACCTGCTTGGAAATCCAAGGGCATTCTCAGTCTGCGACAGTGACAGGCGCCCAGAACTGGGAGGAGGCGGCTGGTGGCACCCTCCTGAGGGTTGAAAAAGAGTAGCCTCGACCCCTTGGCTCCACCCTATACTTCCAAGGGGCCGAGTGCTCTGTGATAGCAGAGTCGTTACAAGCATGCAAAGTTTTCATGTCCAGTGCTTTGACAACTCCATCCAGCCCACACCTGCTGTGCGGCATTACTGCAAAGGCCAGCATGCCGTGCTAGGGGCAACAGATAGGTTTGGCTCATGGAAAGAGCCTTCTGTAAGGGCTCCGGGACTTCACCCCAGTGTGCCTCTCACTCTGGGCCCGTATTTTCCTCATACCTGCTAAGCTGGGAGAGGGGGGTGCTGGACAGGTCACCAGGCTGGGACAAGGAGGGCAAAGTGGCAGTGTGCTGAGGTGCAGAGGGCAGGAGCGTACTGCAGGAGGTGGTGCTGGGCAGGGAGCCCACGGATGGGAGGGCGGAGGGAGGGTCTGTTGTCTTTGGAGCTGGAACGGATGAAGCAGCTGCAAGAAACAGATCTGTTTTAATTCCAGATCTAACCATGAGAATCTGAAATGAGCTCAACGTCTATGACATGTCAAGCTCAGCTGAGACAAAGTTACACCCCCACAGAAAATGCCCAAGTGTGTCTCCAGTCTTCTGTCAGATACAACTATCAGAAGGACACACGATGGCAAAATGCACAGGACCCAAGCAGAGTAGGAAATGACATATCTACCGTCATAAACTGTCCTGTGATGTGGACAAACTCGTCCCAACTGAAGGAAGCTGGCCAACCTTGAAGCCACATCAAGAAAGAGACTCTGAGCTTGACAGACAAAACTTCCTTAAAAAGTACAACAGGCAACAGTGAAAATCTGTCCACCCAAGGGCTGGGTCTCTGCTCCTATCAAATCAGTGCCAAATCAAGCTGACCTTGTGAAAGCTCAAAGCCAATTCAGGGCAGAGGGGTAGGGATTGAGAGCCCAGGGTACATACACTGTGGAGTTTCATACACCTAAAATCTGCAGAAAGAACACACGGCTGCTGTCCAGCACCTACTTTCAAAGGCACAAAGCCCTTCCTTCACTTGCACTCTCACCAACCTGAGAGTACATTAGGCTTTTAGAAGACCAGGCGCGCAACAATCCTAACTGCAGAAAAGACTCAGTTTTAGTGTCATCCACACATACAAGTCAGATATGTGCTTGGAAATAAAGCATCACTGTCTTTTCCAGTTAGGAAGGAGGACGACTTGACCCTCCGGCAGCACTCCCTGGAAGCCAGTGGAAAACACAGCAGCTTCTACAGGGAAGGACAATCTGAATATAAACGCGGGCGGCAACAGTCCCAACACACAGTGTGGTCAATTCTTACAGCAGCCTTTCCCCTCCTGGGGCCTGCTCACTACTGACCCTCTACTCTAAATATGACACCTGTTCTTACAGAAATCAGATGAACACACCACCCTGACCCAAAACTCAGATGCCGGAAGTCGAAGCCTTCAATCATGCGAATAACAGGTCCACAAAAAGCTGCTCAAAGAACCAGCGTGTGTGTGTGAGTGGAAGAGAGAGACAGTTAGTGGGGAAGAGAGGATGGGAGATAAAACCTATCTAAAACGCATGCTATATTTTATGGACATTTCATATCTTATCTCATTTAAAAGTCTCCAACCAATCTAGTACACCTCTATGTATTCTCAACCTCATGTCTGCACAAAAGAAACCTGCTACCATGGCTTCTGAAATAAGAACTTCCTCTGCCACCCAAGGTTCTCAGAGCTATCAGTGCTTCTCCAAACAGTACCGGCAGCCCAGCAATACCAAAGCTCTGGGCAAACCATGTATGTCATTTCAATTCCTACTGAGACCCAGTCCAGGTCTGATAAAAATCCGTCTGTTGTTCCAAAACATAATTGTAAATAAAGAGAGTCTTTCTGGCTTCCATACTCAATACCCCTCACCTTACTGAATGATCAATATCACCATAAACAATCACAGATAGACTAGCCAAGAACAAAAAGAAAAAGAAAAAGAAAAAAAAAAAGGGAACACCTGACAGGGATTGACCTGCACTGTCCCCAGGGATCACTCAGCAGCACAGGAACTGGTGGGGGTGGAGAGCCCTCTCATTCTCTCCCAAGTCTTTACAGTTTCCTCTCTTCCTACTGACAGTCGGTCACAACTGGTAGGCAAGGAACATGTCTTCCTGAGCTGGTACACCAATGTATGCTTTAAAAGTCTTGTACATTACTGGGGTGGGAGTCCTCTGACCATCTTAGAACCTGTGCGTCTGAGCAAAGCATCTTTTAAATCAATGCTACACTCTAGGTGTAGTCTGACTAAGGCAGAATAATATGAGATTACTTGATTTCTAATAATACCACCAGCTACAACCTGGTCCCACAGGAATCTCTAGCTGAACTTCTAAACCCCACCAGAGAAAGGGTGCCAACAATGGATGAGAAGTAGCTACCAGAAAGAATTTAAAAGGACTACTTTTGTACAATCAGACATTAACCTACTGTGTTCCCCATCAAGTCTGCAAAGCTCATTGCTGCTTGGTTCCCAATGCCCGTGACAAGATTAGGCAGCTTGTCCACTTACTGTCTATTGTCTGCTGACTTCGACCACCACCATGTCCATTCTGTAAGGAAGAGAAAACACGGTAAACCCAGAAAATCAAAAACCTCAGATGACTTTCTTTTGGGGTGTAGGTACAAACACAGGAATCATCGTCAAGACCTGTTTTATTTTGTCTTTTTATAAAACGAGGGATAATAGGACAAATTGCTAATAAATCCCAAGAAGCTGACATTTTTGAAAATCATACTGGGAATTTAGAGGAATTAACAAGGACACAACATAAGACCCAAATCACAGAAAACAGTCCTAAAAATTATTAAACATTACAAAGAACTTAGGAACTCTCGTTATATTGAAATCACCAGAAAGAAGCCTTTCTGTCTCAAGGTATAATCTTGCCTCCTGAGTATCAATCATGAAGTAAGCAAAAAAGTTTCCAAATCATAAAACAAAGATAGTTTTCAAACAAGAAATAATATTTCATAATGGAAAATGGTCCTCAGAGGAAAAGATATTACCTTGAAAAATGCCTTTTCTGAAGCGAGCGGGGGAAGAGTGGGTTAGGACAGTGTGGTAGTCCCAAAAAGAGCAGAACATGACAACAGCTGGTTTGAGCTTTAAGCAGAAGGCGTTTCGTTAGCACCGGCTCACACGGAAACCTTTGCTCCCGCAGACGGAGAAGGGGAGATGGGGCACAAAGGGATCACTAACGGAGTCTACAAGGTCAGACATGGTCCCCAGTGGCAGAAAGAGGCTAACAGAAATTTCCTTCTTACAAATGTCAAAACCACTAAAGAAAAAGACAAACCTATAGCTGTTACCTCTACATTAACCCAACCCAGTACAATTTCTGTTCATGAAATGTTATTTATAACACATTTTTAAATAGTTTGAGATTATTTACAAGAAATGTAAACAACAAAACAATTGCTAGAAAAAAAATCCATCAGTTTAAAAGGTTAAAGTTGGGGAAAGAGAAACATAACACTGGGTAGAGAGCGACCAAAGCTTATGCTTTTGCCACTCTCTCAATGAACATCACTGCTCACTAAACACAGACACGGGATGTAGAGCACATGCATCCTGAACAGTACAAACCCTGACATACGAAGAAGTCTTCTCAAAATTACACCAGACTAAAACCACAGAAAAGGGGCATGGGAAACAGCAGTCATCAGACCTAAGGAATATTTAGTTCCATCTTAAAAGTTATTTTAAAAACACAAACAACAGACAAACCGACACAGAGCAGGGGTCACGTTATTGTGATGGGGAAATGCTGGGCAGCAGAATGGTGTTCATCAAAGTAAAGTATCAAATGGTCAGGAAAACCAGAAAACTACAGGGGTTTGAGTTTCGCTAGCCAAGCAAAGAATGAGTGAGCAGTGGTATGTGTAAACAAAACGAGAGGTAAAGTTAGAGTTGAAACTGAGATACTGTAAAGATTTCCACTTGAAACTTCCCTCCATGCTGGTAAGAGGGATGGGGACAGGCAGCTGGGGCTGCGGTGTGGCGGCTGGCAGGCAGGGTGGGTGAAGCAGCAGCTTGTGGACCAGGTGGTCAGCATCAGCTGGGAAGAACTGGGGAGTGAGACGGTCTGCACAACCCAGGGTTCCAGTGCAGGAAACAAAGCCTCAAAAACTCTGGCTGTAAACACCTGTGGGTTGTGGTGGCAGGAGGAACTCCCAGTCTCATAAGAGAGTCCACTGGAGGGGGCCGCAGGATCCTAGAATGTACACTAGCATACCCAGCTGGAAATCAGCACCTGAATGGGCACAATCCACTGTGGGAAGTGACTGTAGTGACTGAAAGTGGGCAAAAACTTTCTAAGGCTCTGCCCCTTAGAATATAACAGGTGCACCTACACAAAGAAATATGGCCCAAATGAAAGAACAGATCAAAATTCCAGAAAAAGAACTAAGCGATGAGGAGATAGCCAACCAGTAAGATGTAGAGTTCAAAACACTGGTGATCAGGATGCTCAGAGAAATGACTAAATACAGACACAAAGTAAAGGAAGGCGCGAAGGCTATCCAAAGTGCAATAATGGAAAATACACAGGAAACCAACAGTGAAGAAAAGGAAACTGGGACTCAAATCAGTGATTCAGAAGAAAAGGAAGAAATAAACATTCAACCAGAATAGAATGAACAAAGAAGAATGCAAAAAAAATTTTGCATTTTTTAATTTTTTAAAAATTAAATTAAAATTTTTTAAACTTAAATTAAAAATTTAATTTTATAGGGAGGCTTCAGAACTTCTGGGACAATTTTAAACGTTCCAATGCCAAATCATAGAGGTGTCAGAAGAAGAGGAAAAGCAAGAAATTGAAAACTCATTTGAACAAATAATGAAGAACTTCTCCAATCTGGCAAAGGAAATAGACATGCAAATCCAGGAAGCTCAGAGAGTCCCAAGAAGTTGGACCCAAGGAAAAACACACCAAGACACATCATAATTAAGTTACCCAAGATTAAAGATAAGGAAAGAATTTTCAAAGCAGCAAGAGAAAAAGAGACAGTTACCTACAAAGGAGTTCCCATCAGACTGTCAGCTGATTTCTCAAAAGAAACCTTGCAGGCAAGAAGGGGCTGGAAAGAAGTATTCAAAATAATGAAAGGCGAGTACTTACATTCAAGATTACTCTATCCGGCAAAACTTTCATTTAGAATGGAAGGGCAGATCAAGTGCTTCTCAGATAAGGTTAAGTGAAAGGAGTTCATCATCACTAAGCCCTTATTATATGAAATGTTAAAGGGGCTTATCTAAGAGAAGATCAAAACTATGAATACTAAACTGACAACTCACAACTATCAACAAGTGATCCTAAAACAAAAACAAACTAAGCATTTAACTAGAAGAGGAACAGAATCACAGAAATGGAGATTACATGGAGGGTTATCAGCAGGGGAGAGTGGGGGAACAAGGTACAGGGAATAAGAAGAATAATTGGTAAGCAAAAAATAGACAGGAGGAGGTTAAGAATAAATAGTATAGGAAATGGAGAAGCCAAAAAACTCATACGCATGACCCAGGGACACGAACTAAGGGGCGGGGAGAATGCTGAAGGGAGGTGGGTGCAGGGGAGAGGGGGATAAAGCTGAGGGGGAAGAATGGGACAACTGTAATAGCATAATCAATGAAATATACTTAAAAGATAAATATTCTGTATGTGCATGTTCCTATATTCTAGCCACTAACCATGTATCTGGATACTGAACATTTTAAATACAGTTAGCCCTGGCACAGTGGCTCAGATGGCTGGAGCAATTGCCTGTGACGACAATAACAGGTTGTGAGTTTGACCCCCAATCAGGGCATGTATGGGAGAGGCATCCAATCGATGCTTGTCTCTCTCACTGCCTTTTCTCTCACTCTTTCCCTTCCTCTTTTCTCTAAAGCCAATAAACATATCCTCAGGTAAGGATCAAATAAATAAATAAATAAATAAATAAATAAATAAATAAATAAGCGGTGTGTCTGAGGAAATGAACTTTTGTTTATTTAATTTAAATAAACTACTACATATGGCTAGCAGTTATCGTATTGGAAAGCACAGGAATAAATTTTATGTTAAAGATGATAGGTCAAAAATATGTGGCTTTTAAAAAAATAAGTAAACCCAGAAAGACATATACAGATGAGGAAAAGGTAATTGTTTAGTTGCCCTTGTAAGACCAAATCCTAAATCAGTAGTAGGGAAAACCAAAAACCAAAAAACTGTACCAAGCAACTCAGTATTTTTCTGTATCAAACTACTCTGGAAGTGGGAGTGGAGGGACGGTTAAGTGTGGGAGGATTTGTTTAAAGACCACCAGAATCAGACCTCCTCCCTCCCACCCTGTGCATGACAGAGTGAATGCCCCTCCCACCACTTCCCAGAGGGTCTAAACTTTATCGAGAGGGTAACGCATGGCCAGGGGCAGCTAAAAAACAGATAGTTCAAGTCAGCGTGGACAGAATGAGTATTTTAAGGACAGCCTTCTTTTCCCACTAAGTCTGTCAGCTGTGACGCTGACAGACTGGCACAGGCCCTACAGGGAAGAGATTAGAAACGGTGCCCATGCTTCCCACAGAATGCGCACGGTCAATCTCATCCAAACCCACCCCAAGCCGGAGCCCTTAGTGAACCTTTTAGTTCAAGTAGGCAGCCTGAAATCACCAGATATTTGAAGAATATATGTAACATAAAAGATTAAAAAATGTTACTTTAAAAAATATCTTTTAAGTAGAGACATATACATATCTCCACGCGGGGACCAAACTCATGTGGCTCAGTTGGGCATCATCCTACAAAGTGAAAGGTCTCCCGTTGGATTCGCAGTCAGGGCACAGGCCTGGGTTGCAGGTTCGGTCCCTAGTCAGGGTACGTATGAGAGGCAACTGATCAGTGATTCTCTCACACACTGGTGTTTTCCACTCCCTTTCTTCCAGCTTCTCTAAAAAAGGGAGGGAGGGAGGGAGGGAGGAAAACCCCCCCAAATTTCTGCTACACCAATTTAACTCATTTTATTGTTTTTATGTTATCATCCACTTTTTAAAAAATACTCACCTGAGGATATGTTTATTGACTTTAGAGAGAGAAGGTGAAAGGAAGGCAGAGAGAGAGCGTGCACAACACCAATCGCTTGTCTCCCACACACACCCCGATGGGGATCAAACCTGCCTGGGTGCCTGGTGCCTGGGACGATGCTCCAAACAACCAAGCCACTCAGCCAAGTTGTTATCTTTTATAAAGATTTTGTTTATTTACTTTTTAGAGAGAGATGGAGGGAAAGAGAGGGAGAAAAACATCAACTCATTGCCTTCCGTACACACCTTGACTGGGGACCAAACTCGCAACCCAGGCACATGCCCTGACCAAAAATTAAACGAGCAACCTTTCGCTTTGTGAAATGATGCCCGACCAACTGAGCCACACCAGTTAGGTCCCAGCCAGGGCTATTATTACCCACTTTTTAAAGTGGCTCTCACCAATAAAGCTTGAATATCTTTGCTTTACAAAGAACTAAAATATTACAGATAAGATTCTAGTCTCTTCTTACCCCATCCAACCCCTGCTTATACCACGCCTCTGGGCCCATTTACACACACTCCTGTGTGTGGTGCTCGAATGGCAAATTTCAAATGAGATGCCTGTGGTTACCAAAGTCAACAAACTACAAGGATGCTGCTCAAATGGTTAGACAATTTGTAAAAGAAAGTCTTAATCAAAAAGCTTAATTTCCTAACTACACACTGAGCTCCAAACAGGACAAGAAAAGACCTGACAGACCACGTACTGTGACAGTTCCTGGAGCGGACTCCGATGGACTCCCAGAGCTTTGGTATGCAACCCTGTTATGCACAGAACTCGGGTCATAGGAGGAAGACGTTACTGGACTAGTGGAGCTCAGGGATGAGCTGGTCAGACTGGAGGAGGTAATGACTGAAGTTGTATAGGTAGAGTTCTGTACTGTACTGGTCATTGGTAGAGAGGTATTCAAAGAATCACTGCAAAGAATAAAAGATATGAGACATAAATTTGTGTCAATTTCCATGGCTTCATGACAAAGAACTATTTCATTACTTTGTCATACTCAAAATTAAACATGTATACAACCACAAGTTTGTACTAGTGCATTCTTTAAACTTATTAACAATACCATGAAGATTCAAAACAACCCCCAGTCCAACTCCACCCTCCAAAAAAGCTAGACCAACCTAATTTAATTAACAGACAAGGGGGGGGAGCTTTAAGATTTAAAAAATCCAGATGCCTTGAAACCAACTTTAGAAGGGGAAACCAAGCAAATATTGGGTTTGGGCTCTGCAAAGTGGAAAGATTAATTAAAGCAATACAATCTAAAATCTGGGCTTCTCTGTTCATAAAATATTCCACTGAAGGAAAGTAAGTGTTGGCAAGATGTGAAAAATTGCACCCCTCAGAGATTACACATGGAAATGTAAAATGCAGCAGCCACTGGGGGAAATGCTTAATGCTTCCTCAAACAGTTAAATATAAGTTACCATGTAACTGAGCAATTCTTAGTTATACACCGAAGAACACAAAACCTGTAACTGAATGTTCATAGCAACATGATTAATCCTGGCCAAAAAGAGGGAACTCGCATGTCCATGAACTCATGAATGAATAAATAAATGTGGTATGTAAGCACAATAAAATATTACTGGTAATCAAAATGCATACATGCTACCACATAGATGAACCTTGACAACACTATGCTAAGCAAAATAAGTCAGTGACAAACAGCCATAAATTCCATGATTCTAAGTCATAGAAAATGTCCAGAATAGGCAAATCCAGAGACAGATTACTGGTTGCCAGGGGATGAGGGAAGGGGGAAGGGTTGCTTTTCAGGGTGATGAGAGGAAAATTCTGGATTAAGTACTGGCAATGGCTGCACAAACCCACTACTATAGGGTGTATTTTCTGTCTCCACCAGGTGATTTCATAAGCTCTATTTACCTTGCAAACAAAAGACTTACTTCGGTCAAAACCAGAGAAGTGGGGAGTTATATACCTTAAAGACTTTGAATATAAGCTGATGGGAATCTGGTTACTATTTTCACTGCTTGCAGCCGATCCAAATTCAGAGAGAGAAGATTCTGATCCAAATTCCAAGGCGCCAAACTGAACATTCAATCCTGTGACATCTGCTGAACCAGGCATTTCCACCGCAGAAGCTGGGGTCTGTAAAGCAAAGCTACCGTGTCAAGAATAGAAGTCATGGAGGCCAAGTTCCAAGGCCTATACCAGAGCCAAATGAACGCTGGGTTCCTAGGGCACACCTGGCAAGCCTGAGGAACAAGAAAAGAAAGGTAAACAGGAAGGAAAAGGAATTGTATTTTAAAAAAAGAGTTAGAAGAGAAAACAGCAAAGAAAACCCAAAATTTAGCATGAGAATGGTCCGTGTTACCAACTGCTTCCTTAGAGCGTGTTAAAGGGGAGAGGGGTTGTAGCTATGGATGAGTAAAGGAGAACTCCTTAAAGCATTATCTGGCCAAAGACCCACTCATCCTCCAACCACGGGACACAGCTGCACACAAAGGACCAAGATTCTGTGGGCCACATCCTCTCATTTCAATTATTCTCCTTCTCTCAGTACGAACCCATTGCCTCTAATATTAGCCCAGTCACTCAGAAACAGCTAATTCCTCATAAAGCAGTAAGCTATGTGTTTAAAACATAGTATATCCAGTTTCTGAGACTTGTTAAGCTAACACTTAAGCTAAACGTTGAAATACCGCATTATGCTGTGTATAATGTGCTCCTGTGTATAATGTGCTCCCGTGTATAATCTGCATCTGTGTTTCTGTGCACATTATACATCAGATTATTATACCCATGGTCTGTAATAATTATAGCCATGTATAATACTCACCCTTCTTTTTTCCCTAAAAATTTGGGCAAAAAAGTATGCATTATATACAGCAAAATACAGTACATCAACCTTGAGATTGTGACTTCACAATAGAATACCCACCTTAGAAGCTGGAGGTATCCGCCGCTTAGTGAGTTTGATGTGTTTAGGCTGAGATTGGTGGGCAGGCACAGCAATGTTTTCAACAGTCAGGCTGGGAAGCTGCAAGAGTTTGTTCACAGTGGAGGTACTGTCTCTGGGTGCCGACTCTCGGAGTTTGACCTGGGAAGGGAAGGACTCCAACCCAGGAGGAGGACCAGTGGCTGACTGAGTCTGGAGCTGCTGTCGCTGGCTCAACTGGCTAAGAACTGGGGATGGTTCAGGCTGAGATTTAAAGTCTAGGAAATACGTAAAGAGGGGGTTAAAAAAAAAAGGCAAGCAACAATCAATTCTTTGGCACACGGGCTTAGACCTCCCTCTTTCACCATCACTGGCAGTAAAGAGTTATAGTCATAGCTAGTTTCTGCCAGCCATCTTCTAGCTGAATCCCATCAGTGTTCTCTGTAAGAGCGTGCACGCACACACATGTGTAACAAACGGGGGGTAGTGAAAAGTGGGTTTATAGTTGAGTACACAAAAGATAATTTGTTCTATCATTATTATTGTATTATCTATTTGTATCACAACTGTAAACCCATTTTTAACTACATTTTATTGATTATGCTATGGGGACAGTTGTCCCAATTTTTTCTCTTTTGTCCCCTTCCACCCAGCACCCCTCACTCCCTCACGGAATGCCCATACCATTGTTTATGTCCATGGATCGCACAAATAGGTTCTGTGGCTACTCCATTTCTTGTGCTGTACTTTATATCCCCATATAAAGTACAGTACAATCCTGATAGGATTTAGGAAGCTGTGAGACTTGCTATTCTGCAAGTAACTATTTGCACTTCTTAATCCCCTCACCTCTTCATTCATTCTCCCACATTCCCCTTCCACTGGGCAACCATCAAAACGCTATCCATATCCATGATTCTCTCTGTTCTTCGTTTATTTGCTTTTTTGATTCAGTTTGCTGATAGATATGTATTGATTGCCATTTTATTGTTTATAGCTTTGATCTTCTTTTTCTTAAATAAGTCCTTTTAACGTTTCATATAATAATGGTTTGGTGATGAAGTCCTCTAGTTTTTTCTTGTCTGGGATACTCTTTCTCTCCCTTTGATTCTAAATGCTCTCTGTGCTTTGTTGACCAATCTTCTCTGCTTTTCATGACATGAGTATTTCTTGACAACCCCTTGTAGCCTGCAAAGTTTCTTTTATGAAATCAGCTGACAGTTTTATGGGAACTCAACTCTAGCCAACTACTTTTCCTGCTTTAAAACTCTATTTTTAGCTTTGGCCTTTTAATAATGATGTGTCTTGGAGTGGGCCTCTTTGTATCCATCACAATTGGGACTCTCTGTACTTCCTGGACTTGCATGTCTATTTCCTTCACCAAATTAGGGAAGTTTTCTTTCACTGTTTTTTTCATATAGATTTCTAATTTCTTGCTCTTTCTCTTCTCTTTATGGCACCCCTATGATGGAAATGTTGGAACACTTGTCCCACAGGCTCATTTTTTTTTTAACTCTTTTTTCTGCTTGTTGTTCTCCATGGTAGTTTTTTGGTTCCTTATGTTCCAAATCATTGATTTGATTCTCAGCTTCATCCACTCCACTGTTGCTTCCCTGTAAATTGTTCTTTATTACAATTAGTGTACCCTTCGTTTCTGAATAGGTCATTTTAAGTTCCTTGAGCATCCTTATAAACAGTGTTTTTGAACACTGCATCTGAAAGATGGCTTATCTCCATTTGGTTTACTTCTTTTTCTGGAGTTTTGATCTGTTCTTTCATTTGGGCCACGTTTCTTTGTCTCCTCATTTTGGCAGCCTTCTTGTGTTTGTCTCTATATGTTAGATAGAGCTCCTTGTGTTAGATAGAGCTGCTTTTGACTCCATATCTTGGTAGTGTGGCCTAAGGAAGTAGGTGTCCTGTAGGGTCCAGTGTCACAGCCTCCCCTATCACCCAAGCTGGGTAATGAAGTGCACCTTCTGTGTGGGCTGAGTACACCCTCTTCTTGTGGTTGAACCTTGGTGGCTGTTGGCAGATCAGTGGGAGGAATTTCCCCAGAACAGTCAGCGGCAAGGCCTGACTGTGACTACTGACCACCAATCTCTATGCTCTGTGGAGAATCAGCTGTACAGGGGCAGGGTGATGATTCTTCCACGTGGTCTGTAGCTGTCCACTGGATGCACTGGCCCTTAGGTTCTACCCAGGGCCACTCTGCATGAGCTACAAAGCAGTCTGAGATGGCTACCACTTGTGCTGGGCTTGGAGATTCCCAGGTGAAGCCAAGGTATGAATCTAGGCTGGCTGTTGCTAGTGCCAGAACTAGGACTACTCTGTAAGAGGTATGGGGGCTAGGGAATTAACTTAGTCTAGTAATTGCTTGCTTCATAGGATTTAGGAATCTGTGAGACATGAGACATGAGACAAGACCAGCCTTCATATGGAAAAGTCATGGTTAACAGTTTGGTTGGGCCTATAAGTTGGGTGGGCCAGAGTCTCAGGGGATCTCCAGGGCAGGGCAAACAGTGTTAACCAGGTTGATGAAGTCTCAGATATGAATGACACTGGCCTGCTGGCTCACTGGCTCTGTGGCTCCTTGGGGTGAGGGCTCAGAAAATGGACAATGGCCTCTGCCTACCTTTCTGTCTAGAAGAAAGCTGTCCTCTAGCTCCCACTTTGATGTCAGACACTTCAGTCCCTCCCTTTAATGCCACCAGTACCCTTTGAGCTGCTACTGTGGTGCCAGAGCTCAGAGAGAGCCTGAGTAATTCCATGTGTGGGCTCTCAAAAAGAAATGGCTTGGGACTCAGCAGTTTTTCTACTGACTCAATCCCCACTGGTCTTCAGAGCCAGAAGTTACGGGGACTTACCTTTTTGGCACAGAAACCCTGGTACTGGAGTCCTAGTGTATGACTAGGACTCTCTGCTCCTGAGATATCCCTCCTAGATTTTTATTCACCACATGTAGATGTGGGACCGGCCCGTTTCATGTCTCCACCCCTCATACCAGTCTGGATGGATGTGGTTTCTTTAATTCCACAGTTGTCAGACTTCCATTGAATGTGATTTCTGACAGTTCTGAGTGATGGTTGTTGTATATTTTCACTGTAATTTTCATGTGGTTGTGTGAGGAGGCAAGCCATGTTTACCTATGCTGCCATCTTGATCGGAAGTCTCTAAACCTAATTTTGACCAGTTTATATGTAAGGTTACTGTGGAGTGGGCATATGCATCTGGACTTTAGCTAATAGAGAATTATATTTTTGTTGCTTTATGAATTTTTGACTAATCTTTTGAAAATTATTTTACTAATTTTTTCCCACTAAGTAGTAATTTTATAAAATTTAAAAAGTACAAAAATGTACATGACGACTACCAATCACTCTCCCACCCTGTCCCCAGATTCATTCCACAAATGTGAGCAATGGATCCACTTTCTTGAATATCTTCAGAGATATTATTTCAATACACAAAATATACAGAGAAAGACACACCACTTCCTATCTATCTATCAATCTTGCTTCCTCACAAACCATTCAGGTTTCAGAGAGTGTTTCATATTAATGGAATAAAGAACTACCAGTACTTCATTTTTATGGACACCTAGTAATCCAGTATACATGGGCATCATATTCTAAAACTACAACTGTATTAAGGGACTTTTAGGTTCTCCAATACTTGCTATAGAAAACAATGTTGCAATAACTATACTTAAGACATTTTTGCTCAAGTGCAAGTATTCTTACAAGAAATCAGTTGCTGGACTGGTTAAAAAAATGCCTATATTTTAAACTGTAACAAACACTTTAAAATCCTATCCATAGAGAGAACACATGTTTTTTTACATACCAAACTTTCAAAACAAAATGATCTAAGTTAAGCATCACTGATATACTTAAGTGTTCTTGGACTATGAACTGGCTATGTCCCTACCCCTTCAACCATTTTTAAGTTATTTTTGGTCTCCTTGAATTTTAGTTGTTCTTTATATGAGGAAGTTATGATCACTTTGTCTATGATAAGATTTTCAAATATTTTTTCAAAATTTGTCTCTTCTTTGATTTGTTTATGGTGTTTCCCATCATATTTAGAAAAGTCCACCACACACAGACTATATAAAAATCTTCCTGTGTTTCTCTCTATTACTGTTCTAGATTCGCTCTTTATGTTTAAATATATGACCCATTTGGCACTACAGTGTAGAGTGAATGTTAGGGATCCAACTTCATCTTTCAGCCAGATAACCAACAGCAATAAACACCTTTTCACCACTGATTTGAAATGTTACCTTTATCAATCTTTTTCAGCAAAAGGCCAGGGAGTAAATTATTTTGGGCTTTAAAAGCTATCTGTTAGCAACTACTCAAATCTGCCTTTGCAGATTGAAAGTAGTTATAGACAATATGTAAATGGCTGTGGTCATGTTCAATAAAACAGTATTTACAAAAACAGGTAGCAGTTTGAGCTGAAGGTTTACCAACCCATGCCTTAGTGTATTTCCATGCTAGATGAATTTATTTTGGGGTTTAATATTATAGGCACCTACAAAAGAGGACATACTTTAAAAAGAATACATAAACGGCATTCTTAAATAGAAAACCTCATTATCTCTTATTAAGTATGCTAGGAAAAATTAACAGGTCTACAGCTGCCCAAAAATGCTGGCTTGTGCCCTGGCCAGTGTGAATTAGTTGGTTGGGCAGGTTGCAGGTTCCGTTCCCAGTCAGGCAGGGCACATGCCTGGGTTTCGGGCTCAGGACCCAGATGGGGGCTTGCAAGAGGCAGCCAGTCAATGTTTCTCTCTCACATGCATAATTCTCTCCCTCTCTTTCTCCCTCCCCCCCCCGCCTCAGAATCAATAAAAGAAAAAAAAACTTAAAACAACAAAAAAAGTAATGCTGGCTTGCAAGATCAGCTCCTGGCTAGTGTCTGAGAACACAGAATTTTTATATGTTCTAGGGCGAGTGCCAACTCTAACCACTAAAGGTGACTCAGTGCCTTGAATACTTATACAACATGGTTTACACTGAACACTTGCTTTCCCCTTCTAGGAATCTGGGATTTTGGTGTGTACGAGGCAGAGTGTGCCTACGTAACCAACCCCACGAAAAACCCTTGAGCACCGAGTCTCTAATGAATTTACTTGGTAGGCATCACTTCAAACCTGGGAACAGTCTCAGGTACCTCCATAACAGTAAGCCATTTCATTCAGCAGAGAAATGTGTTTCCATGTCACTTGATATGCCCTGCACATGAACCAGTCCACACAACCAACCCTGTGTCTAATGTAACCCCCTGCTATTCCCTAATACAGTGTGATGTGTGTTAGTGGAAAATGGTGGTTTAAAGATTTTTTAAAAATCCTCATCAAGGACATGTTTATTGATTTTAGAGAGAAAAGAAGGGGGAAGAGGGCAAGAGAGAGAGGAACATTGATGTAAGAGAGAAACAGTGATCAGCTGCCTCCCATACATGCCCCTGACCATGGATCAAACTCACAACTTTGGTTTTATGGGACAACACTCCAACCACCTGAGCCACCTCGGCAAGGCAGAGTGGTAGTTTAATGTCACAAAGACCTATGTAAAGTAGAATTTAGAAAACCTCCAATTTACATGTGTTGCCTTTAATGTACAAACCAGATAGTAAGGCTGAACCAAATCATAGTGGATACATGCAAACGTTAGAATGAGAAAGCAATGTAGTCAGTGCGATTTAAAATGTTTTCCAAAGTCCACCTTCTGTCACCACCTTTTTCTAATATAGCTCAGAAAAGTCTGTGTTTCCTTATACTTGTGGCCTTCACCATGCGTTTGCACATCTCTCCAAGGCAGGACCTACTACCACTAGTAACAAATCAATGCAGGTATTAATTTATACAATACAAATCTAACTGCTTTAATTCAGAAACTTTGTGAAATTCTACTAAAAAAATCTTTGGACAAATTCCGCATTACTGTTCACAAGTCAACAGCCTCTGCTAATGTTTAGGTCGTGAACAACCACAGAAAATGTTCACTTACCAAAATGGCTAAGGACTGAGGACTGGGTAGCTGAGGGCTTGAGGTCCCAAGAAGAAGTGGTTGTGGGAGGGCTCGTACTATTCTGCTGTGAACTTTGGGTGGTGGTAAACTGACCCAAACTTGGAGGTTTCAACTGGTCCAAAATCTGGGAGCTGGTGACGCTTGCCATTTTTGAAGATGTAAGCTCTCCAAATCCCGAACCCAGGACGGACGACTTTAAAGGGAAAGAAAACAGAAATCCTAAATAATACAGAATTTTTAACCCAAGCTTTAAAACATGCCATGTGTTTTCACAAGAATTTTAAAAACTATGATCCAGAAAATCTGAATTAGTAAGACTCATGAGTAAATACAAGATAAAAATACTACTATACAATAAGATCTGACTAAATAAATCCAGCAAGACTTCCTGATTTTGATGAGGTTAATGAAAAAGGAAACATATTCCCTAGATTTTAAGAAATTATCATTTTTAAAAAGTGATGTCACAAACTCACAAACAAAACTATTTTTTAAACTAAGGAGGAATGTTATGAATTAAACAGCAAACACACGCTTATAAAACAAAAATAGTGTTTTTTTTAAATGCATGGAACAGTAATCATCTTTAACGATTAGACTAGGTTTGGTCACAAAAAGATCAGCCATGAGGTCTGCAAGATTAAATGCAGGTCACAGCACTTACTTAAAAAGTCAGGATTCCAAAATCAGACATGGGAGGTATTTGTATATTGAGCAAATACCCTGGACACGGCTGTGTTTATTTCAAACTGTTTAGATGCCTACGAACACCAAATACATCCCAGAAGCAAGCATACAAAAGACAGTGTGACATCTCCCCTATCTGCCCTGTGAGGTCAGATGTGAAGACCCGAGGAAAATTAAAGCCTACGATCAGTGCACATAATGGCAGATCAACTGCTTTTTTACATTATCAAAATCATTCAGTTTCTGAAAAGACAAGTACTTTGTCAAAAATAACTTTCAAAACCACCTAAAACAGAAGGTCAAAAAAAGAAATGATTTGCACTCCCTGAAGAGGCCAGATCTAGGAAGCTGAAATAATTATTTGTTATTAGTATCCAAGGGCACAGGGAATCCTAGTTGTTGTTCAAAGGAAACCCAAATCCTCCAATGTTAGTAAAACTTCAGGTTGTGAGCAGTTACTACACATCAATCATGGAACTGCTCCTATTAGAATAGTTGTGCTCACATTACTTATCATAGTCCAAATTCTTGGCTCATGCTACACATTATACTTCTCTTTCATTGCCACAAAGCTGCCAAAACCCAGCTCAAGCCCACTTGTGCGACGAAGGCTTCTCGAATGATTCGTCTACTCTTCATCTTCCACTACCTAATCTCTATCCTGTATCAGCTAGTTTTATAAAATGCACTTTCTGTGTGCTGTACAAAACAATGAAATCCCACCTCAATGAAGTGCCAGCAAAGGATCTCTTAATTCCACCTATACGTTTCAATCAACTTAAAAACTGTGTGTATTGGTACACACGTGTGCATGCACTCACATATACACAAACACACACAGTGCCCTATTTCCAAGCCCTAAACCTCTGGCATTATTTCACTATTATCATTATTACTGTTGTTATTTACTGAAGTTCCCCACTGATTTTAAGAGCACAGTAGGGTTGAGAACTACTGCTCTAATACATTACACAAACAATTCTTACCAGTTTCTCAAGGTGTTGCTTATGACAGAAACAACACACCTAAGGTCACTGTAAACAAACAAACAACCCCCCCCCCCCGAGGTCCTACCTGCTCTCGGCTAAGCCTGGCTAAGATTCCAGCGTGTCGGCAAGGACATGGGCTTCAGTACACCAGCAGCACATGGAAAGGCAGAGCAGGAAAGGGCACAACAGCTCAACCAAAACTGAGTGGTAGGTACTATTAGGCCCTCTCACAGCAGAGAGGGCACTAGGGCTGGCGCTGCCCCACTTCAAGCACGGACGCCCTCTCCTGAACAATCTTCAATAACACTAAAAATGCCAATTATATTCCAAACCGGATTTACCTGACATGACATGCTTGTGGAGTAGAATACGGCAATGAAAAGTTTGCATATTCAATTCTACATTTTATTAGGGTAGAGCAAATGACTCTGAGTCAGATAAAAGGAAAAGACTGAGTCATATTTGTAAGAAATTCTGTTTTTCCATGGTAGATTTCAGGGTAAAACACACCAAAATGAATCAAAATAATTATCATTAGTGAAAGCTGTGGATCCATATTTATGGTCCTTCTAACCTCCCTTCTGCCAACACATAACAGTCTACAGTTGGACAGAAGGGACTTCACTTCCCCACTCTGCAGCTACATTCTTTTACACTCTCTTTCTTCTACTTCCATCAGCCTAGCTTCACACACTTCACTAGAAATTTCTTAAGTTCTTTTTAATGGGAGCTTAACTCTCATGGGAAGTGAAGAGTCATAGATGCAGCCACAGACAACACTGCTTCAATGAAAGCACATCCAAATTATAAGGGTCCCCACTACACAGTGTGGCCTTTTTAAGAAACATGCACTAAGTTTATGGAATAACAAATAAAAATATTTTAAAAAGTAAGCACCTAGGCAGACTTGAAAAGAACAGTTTCTGCATGATTTTAGCAAGACAATATTGACATTTACATTTAAGTAGACTGGAAAAATTAAAATTTTAACATCTTAAGTATAGAAACAGACCTTCAAACAAAACCTATGAAAAAATCATTAATATGATTTCCTGAATGATTATGACTGAAAAGATTTCAACTTCAAAAAGTATTTTTATCTTTGTCCAGAAAACTCAGAGTAGTTGAATTCCACATGAAATCATCAGATATGTGCTTGGAAATGAACACATCATTGTTTTCTGGACTGAGATGTGCTGTAGAAATTTTCTCTATTTAGAAAACAGTTATAAGGCATGTGTCATCCTAGAATACAGTTGCTCATGGCACATCCCTTGAAATCCCATAGTGAAATAAAAGTGAGTTACCAGACTCTGAGGAGAATAGGAGTTGACAGCAGTGGAACTGCCTGTCCCTGGTGCCATCTGATTGTTGTGCTGAGAATTTGTGAAGACAAGGGCTTGGCCAAAGCCCTGCTGTTGGGAAGGTTCAAAGGAGCTGACTTCTGAGACTTGACTGGAAGGAACAGGCTTCTGGAGCAAGGCTACCAGATCAATGCTAAGCAGACAAAAAGCAAAAGAGGAACAAGTCATAAATAAATCTTACCAACAAATGAATTTGAGAAGTGAATCAATATAAAATAATTTCATGCCAAAAATTACTTAAGTAAGGAAAACCTTTGGAAACTGGAGTCTAGAGGAAGCCAAAAGGAGTGCATCACTCACACACACACACACACACACACACACACACACACACACACACCCCATATGAAGCCACAGAGACGGAGACAGGGCACTGCAGAGAAGAAAAACAAAAAGGTGCACTGTGATATTTCCACAGAAATGGAACAGTGACAACTGATTTGAAAAGCTAGATCAATTGAGTAAACTTAAATTAAGTTTTTAAACTTTGGCTTGCTTCCTTTAGGATATTTTGCTTCTTTTAATACTTGGAACCAGTGTCTCAAACTTTCCTAAAGTAGAGTGAATCCATATTGTGGGGTAACGAGGATAATAGATAGTAGACCATTCAAGGAATTTTGTATTTGTCATAAATGTCCCTGTAAGTTCTTCACTGCATACAATAATATATTTAGGTTCATACAAATCTCATATAATTTTCTCCCTTAAATATTCAATAAAGAATGCACAATACATTAACACTCTGTTAAATACAACGCTTGTGACACCCTAGAAACACAGATATTCCAATTTCAGAACCTTGGCCTAAAAACCTGAAAGCATGAGGAAGAAATGATCTCTGGACATATATATACTGCCTGACATGTGAGTGAGCTACTAACTCTTCTCCACGGGACCTGCAAGGTGTACAGAATTACCTAACATGATAATGTGCTCCATTAAAATCTTTCAAAGGCCAGTTTCCAGTCGGTCTCCTGACTGAAACTTCCACAATGCAAGTAACACAGACTCTAAAAGGTAAAATAATTCAAGACACACTCCTGATACACAGCCAAGTCCCCGGACCTGAGTTCCTCTACCTATGCACCTCCACTCTGACATAACCAGGCTGAAGGCCCAGACTAGTATTTTGGATCCGAGGTAACCTTCTGGCTTATGGGATACTTCAGGAATACAAACCCAGCATAACTATGTTATAGATGACTCATCCCCAAAAAGTTGCATTACAACAAGAACAGAGCAAGTTCTACTCCAAAAGATTGATGAGATATATGCATAAAAAATGCTACAGCAATGTCCTCTGAAAAAGTAACAATGAAAAGAGTCTACTTCATATTTTTTAAAAGATGAAAATGATCCTATCAAATTCACTGAGTAACTAATTCAATGAAGAAGTTATATCCATTTAACAAGAAATTCTTAGCAATTCACAAAACAACATATTGCAAGACATAACGTTTGATCATTTTTATTTCCCTGAAACAAAGTGCTATAACCATATCATTTAGCATGAGATCAAGCATGTTAGATACAAAATTGTCTTCAATTCTCAGCTGTGATACATATCAGGGTTTTTATCCTTCTGGGTTACTGCACTTTCAAAGTATAGTGAAAAGTTTTTAGAGTTATTATAAAAACTAGGATGTAATTTAGTTCTGTACAAATTCTACCAGCATCTCTATTACCCCCAAAGGTTCCTTCCTTTTCTGTAATCTATGAGACGATTGGATTAAAACTAGTAAAAAACGAGAAATTTGTACCAGCCTGAGAAGATCTAAGTTAATAGTATTATATGAAGAAACCAAAGTAACATTTGTGTTAGGTTCATCTGTCAAAAAACAAGTTTACAAAAAGTAAAAAATTATTATTACATAGGTTCAACATAATCTCCATCACAAACGGTAGCAAAAAACAAATATTCTAATTCATCAGTAGACACAACGTATTAGGAAATGATGGAGGCTTTGTCAGCTCACTAGGTAGGTTTGGAATAAAACAAAGTCTAAGAAAGTAAGGGAAAAAAAAGATTCAAGAAAAGGGAAAAATAATCAAGAGACCCAAGAACCAAAACAATTTTCCTAAGGCAAAATATTTCAACTGTAACAAATAAAAGGTGGCAAAAGGTATTTACCTTTGTCCAGGTGTGATATGATTCTCTGATGGAACAGATGAGGCAGTGAAAACTTTTGTTTCAGAAAGCTGTATGAAAGGGATTAAAAAATCTTTTAATCTTATTTTATATAACATAAAACCAAAAATGTATCAAGTCCCTAACAATTTTTAGTCACCAGTACTCTTATTATAATTCACCCAAAAGGCAGTCTGTCTAAAGGGAAGAAAATACACAGGTGATCATGACAAGGGATTGTGTTCAGTGAAAATAATTTTAGATTAGTAAGCCAGCACACAGTAGGATTTCGGGGAACACACTGAAGTAAATTCACACCAGGTTCAAGTCCCAATCTATTTGATGTTACAGAAAATGAGAATACCAATAAAACCACTGCTAATGTCACCATGAATGCCAAAAAGGAGTAGGGAGATTTGAAAAGGCAAAATAATTATGCTTTCTTTCCTCAGACAGCTGGCTTTAGTATTTCTCTTCTTAGTAGTCTCTAAGTAAAAGGTTTCCTGTTATTTTTTCAAGAATAACTTTATACAGGTATGAAACATACAACAAACCGCAGATATTCACCCTGAATTATTAAATGACTTTTGTCACATGTACTCCCAGGAACCCATCTCCAAATCAAGACAGTGAACACACCTATTACTACCCAAAAAGTTTGCCGCGATCCGAGTAATCAATCCCTCCCACCACTCACGTTCACCCCCAGGCAACACCCAATCTGCTTTCGGTCACTACAGATTAGACTGTATTTTCTGGAATTTGAAGTGGAATTAAAAAAAAATTCATTCTTTTATGGCTTCTTCCACTCAACAGAATCTCTCCAAGACTCATGCATGTTGTTTTAATGCACTTTTAAGGTACACATGATAAAATTTTTCGAAATTTCAATCAACATTATTGAAAGGTAGGTTCTTTTTAACATTTTCAAAGTAGGGCATGGGCTTTAAAAGCTAGTAAATGTTGATCTAATAAGACAATAAGCTAATGATAATGCTATTCAAAGATTTATAACTTTTTATAATCAATATAATTCTATTTTTGTGATTATGCTATTAGAGTTGTCCTGATTTTCCCCCTTTGCCACCCCCTACCCAGCACCAGGCAATCCCCCACCTGCATTCATGTCCATGGGCCACAGGCGTAAGTTCTTTGGCTACTCTGTTTCCTATACTGTACTTCACATCCCCATGGCTGTTCTGTAATTACCTATTGGAACTTCTTAATACCTACACCTCTTCACCCATTCTCCCCCTTCCCATCTGGCAACCTACCAGTAACTAACTTCTTTTCTCTTGCTTTTAAGAGTCTGTCTTTATCTTTAACTTTGGCCTTTTAATAATGATGTTCTTGGAGAGGGCCTCTTTGTATCCCTTACAATTGGGACTCTGCACTTTTAAAGACTTGCATGTCTATTTCCTTCACCAAATTAGGGAAGTTTTCTTTCACTATTTTTTCAGATAGATTTCTAATTTCTTGCTCTTTCTCTTCTCCTTATGGCACCCCTATGACGGAGATGTTGGAACACTTGTCCCACAGGCTCTCTTTTTTTTTTTTTTACTTTTTTCTGCTTGTTTTTCTCCATGGTAGTTTTTTGGTTCCTTATGTTCCAAATCATTGATTTGATTCTCAGCTTCATCCACTCCACTGTTGCTTCCCTGTAAATTGTTCTTTATTACAATTAGTGTACCCTTCGTTTCTGAATAGGTCATTTTAAGTTCCTTGAGCATCCTTATAAACAGTGTTTTTGAACACTGCATCTGAAAGATGGCTTATCTCCATTTGGTTTACTTCTTTTTCTGGAGTTTTGATCTGTTCTTTCATTTGGGCCACGTTTCTTTGTCTCCTCATTTTGGCAGCCTCCTTGTGTTTGTCTCTATGTGTTAGAGCTGCTTTTGACTCCATATCTTGGTAGTGTGGCCTAAGGAAGTAGGTGTCCTGTAGGGTCCAGTGTCACAGCCTCCCCTATCACCCAAGCTGGGTAATGAAGTGCACCTTCTGTGTAGGCTGAGTACACCCTCTTCTTGTGGTTGAACCTTGGTGGCTGTTGGCAGATCAGTGGGAGGAATTTCCCCAGAACAGTCAGCGGCAAGGCCTGGCTGTGACTACTGACCACCAATCTCCATGCTCTGTGGAGAATCAGCTGTACAGGGGCAGGGTGATGATGCTTCCACGTGGTCTGTAGCTGTCCACTGGATGCACTGGCCCTTGGGTTTCCTGGGTGGTGCAGGCCAAGGTCAGCCCTCACCTTTTCCCCAGGATACCCTGCATGAGCTACCCTGCAAAGCAACCTGAGATGGCTGCTACTTGTGCTGGACCCGGAGAGTCCCAAGTGAAGACAAGCTGTGACTCTAACCTGGCTGCCACTAGGGCTCACTGAAGCCAGCTGTTGCTTGCTTGCTTGATAGGATTTAGGACCCAAGACCAGCCATTGTGACAGAAAAGTAATTTGGGTGGGGTGGAGCCTCTGTGGATCTCCAAGGTAGGTCACACTGTATCAGCCAGGTGGATGGAGTTTCAGATATGGTACCAGTCTAATGGTTCTGTGGAGGAAGGGCTCAGCAAAGGCCTCTGCTTGCCCAGTGACAGACACTTCAGTCTCTCCCTGTAAACACTGATGACCTTCCAGCTGCCACTGGTGCTGGTGCTCAGAGGGAGCAAGTCTGAGTAGGTGAGTCCATGTGTGGGTTCCCCACAAGGAACTGCTTAGGGCTCCAACAGCCTCCTCCACTGATTCAATCCCCACTGGTTTTCACAGCCAGAAATTGTGGGCTTATCTTCCCTGCACTGGGGGTCCTGGTGTGGGTCTGGGGCTCCTTCCTGCCAAGATATTCCTCTAAAATTTTTATCCAAGTGGATGTGAGACCAGCCCATTCTGCATCCACACCCCTCCCACCAGTCTGGATGGATGAGGTTTCTTCAGTTCCGTAGCTACCAGGCTTCCATTCAATCATCACTCTGACGCTCGTGAGTGATGGTTGTTCTGTATTTTAGTTGCAATTTGATGTGTTTGTGCAAAAAGGTGAGCCATGCCTGCCTACATCACCATCTTGACCAGAAGCTGATTGTTTTAATTCTTATCATTTCTAAATGTCTCAAAACTGAGATATTATATAAAATCAGATTTCCTCAGACACTAATATTCAGGCGGAGCCAGGAGATAGAAAAAAGTGCTAATTGATTAGTGTTTCAACAAGAAGGGCTTAATGATGAACCTGTTTGAAGGTAGTATCCTAAGAGTCCCAAGTAATCCATTTTTGCCTTCAAGAATCTTAAATACTAAATATAGTTAAGAAGAAAAGCAATGAAAGAGTAATTCTATTTTTTTTCAGTGAAAAGCAATGAAGGAGTAGATCTAAAGTCTTCAAAATATTAAGTTCAATGTTTAGTAAGAACCACAGAAATGACTGACATCTAACTAATCCTGGTACAATACAGAAAATGGTTTCCTTCGTACCTTTTAAAAAAATATCCTCACTCAAGGACATTTTTTCATTGCCGAGAGGGAAACAGCAATGTGAGAAATATCTGTTGGCTCCCTTCTCATATGAACCCCAATAGGGGCCTGAACTCACAACCTAGTCATGTGCTCTAACTGGGAATCAAACCTGTGACCTCTTGATCTACCGAATGACACCTGAACCAACTGAGCCACACCAGCCAGGGCTTCTTTGCTTTTTTAAAGAAAAGGGATGGAGGGGGAAAAGTGAAGAGTTATTGTTCTAAGCTCTAGAAGGATTTTAGGGTTTGCATTTTAGATTACTCTCCTTTCAATTACCATAACTTTCTATCACCTCGGAAAACTTTCAGATTTTTAAAAGAACTACTGAGAAATGAAAATGGCCAAATTCTCTATGCTAATTCACTCCAGTAACTATAAATTTCATTGTGATAAAATGTAACCAGGCAGCATGGGGTCTGGCTGCTTGTCACCGTAAATATGTAAAACACAAAGATTTGTGGAGAAATAGGTTTTAATTATAGGGCGCCTGAATGGAGGGGGCTGGAGCATTTGTGCTCCAAGCCAACCAAACCGACCACTTTGCAAAACACAGAAAATCAGCCACCCTCAGGAAGACTGTAGTCCAAATCCATATCCAGAATGTACCCAGTGTTTATCTGTAGCCCAAGGTTGTTAGTCAACTGGGTCCTCATCTCCACAGCTCCAAGCTCTTTCTTCCTCTGGCCAGAGTCGTTATCGCCTCACAGCAGCTGCCTCTCTCTCAGGGTAGTTGCTATCGCATCGCAGCAGCTTGCTCGCTCTCTCACGGTCTGGGGTGCACACTCAGATTACTCCACACAATCATGCCTGGGAACCTCCATCCACAAGGAACTTCCCAGCTCATGCCTCTGTGTGCTGCTCTCAGGGTGAGAAAATGAAAGCAGTCCAGGACCCGAACACCATCCTGCACTGGGTCACAGCATCCCAAGGGCTGGTGCCTGGCAAGGCAAGCATCCCAGCGTGGCACCCCGACTCCAGGAGCTGACTTCCAACCATGTGGGCCAAAACCCAGAGCAATCCTGGCATTTGCCACTCCCACCTGCACAGGGCAAAGCAAGAGCGAGGCTTCTGTCCACCTTTGGTTTAAAAGTCCTCTCCCAAAATCCCATGTGTGCAGGAAGGCAATGGGAGTGTCCACCTTTCCAAACAATGAGGGCTAATGTCAGCTGTTTTCCTTTTCCCCTCATCTGGCAACCATGTTGCATAAGCGGGCAGAAGTCTTGAATCATGTCTGTCCAAGTTCCCTCCTGCTAAGTCACAAGCTGCTTGTCTGCCTTGGATATCTCTCTCCTCTAGAAACCCCTCTGCTTTTAATCTTCAATTCCACCTTGAGGTTTTTCTCCCCACACCCTGTCTTCTCTCGGCGATCTGGCCTGATCACTCTATTACAAAAAACGGGCTCTACACAGCAGAATATTTATATTTCTGTAGGTATGTACATCCGAACCGCTTGTTTCTGATCCACAGAATAACCCTGTGAGTTAGGTAGGCCAACTATTATGATACTCATTATATTGATAAAAACAGGAGGCTTGAAGAAAAGAAAGAAAACAGAAGGCTCAGAAAGGAAAGATGCCTCATCCAATACCAAAAGGTCAACACAGGAACATCTGAATACATTCCTTTTTCTTCTAATCTGATACTGGTTTTCTAACTTGCTTATGACCCAGACAACAGTGATGGAATATAAAGCCTAAAACACTTTTCGCTCCCAACAAACTCACAGCAAAAATTCTAGTAACACAAAGCATTTAAAAGTAGGATGGCTTTGTTTGAAATCAGCCCTCTGACACCCTGGCTGGGTGGTTCAGCTGGTTAGAGCAACATCCCAATACACCAAGGTTGCGGGTTTGATCCCTGGTCAGGGCACATAAATCAACCCATGAATACATAAATAAGTGCAACAACAAACTGATGTCTGTCTGACTCTCTCCCTTCCTCTCTTTCTAAAACCAATTTTAAAAAACAAAAGAGAAAGAAGCCCTCTGACTTTGTCTTATCACTGATACCACAAAGTATGGGCACGAGTCCTAACTTGTGCGGCTCAGTAGGTTGGGCACTATCTTGCAAACCAAAAGGTCACCTATTTAATCCCCAATGAGGTCTCATATGTGGGGCTGCAGGTCAGGTCCCAGACTGGGGACATGCAAGAGGCAACCAACTGATGTTTCTCTCACCCATTGTTATTTCTATTCATCTCTTTCTCCCTCCACTGAATCAAATGAGCACTCTTACAGATAGTAGAGAACCTGGTGACATTATATCCCAAGGACTTATGGTTAGCATGTGGAAGAAATGAAAGTATAGGCACAAGCCCTGATTGGTATGACTCAGTGGGTTGGGCACTGTCCCCAAAACAGAAAGGTTGCTGGTTCATTTCCCAGTCAAGGCACATGCCTGTGTTGCAGGCCAGCTTCCTGGCTGGGGGTGTGCAAGAGGCAGCCAATCAACGCTTCTCTTCTTCTCTTTCTCCCTCTCTCTAAAAATAAATCTTTAAAAGAAAAAAATAAATTTTTTCCTAAGGATTCTAAGTTCCAATCAAATGAGCATATCTAGTCTCCTCCTTCCTCATGCTCTACCCATCTCACTCCCTAAGAAGCCTAACATGGTAATACTGCTGAAAGAAAGGAAGGAGGGAGGGAAGGAGGGAAGGAAAGAAGGAAGGAAGGAAAGAAAGGGAAGAAAAGAAAAGAAAAGAAAAGAAAGAGAAAACATAAGAGGTTTCACATTGAATGAAATCACCGTTTAAATACTTCTGCATACAAAATGAAATGGGAAAAATACCCCCCCCCCAAAAAAAACCCTACAACACAATAAAAAACTAACCCTGAATCTCTACGTGTGAATCAACTTATGTGATTTTGAATTTCGGTACTTACAACCCCTTTATGTCCTGCCTCCCAATGTGTGCTGTGATTCTCTATCATGTATACGTATCTGTTCTGGTCCTTGGGAGTCAAATAAAATGGTCTAAAATATGATACAGGGCTTGTCTTTTTTGAGTTAAATATTTTTTATCGGAGATTATCTTACACAGAACCCAGAACTTAAGAGATTAACTGTATCCCAAACCTAATGTAGTATACTCAAAAATGGCTGTGGAATAAATGAATACCCAAAACAGAGCCAGTCTAATTGAAAGGGGAAGAATTAGCCCTAGAACTAGAATGACTTATTCAGATTAATTTCAACTGTGACCCAAACACAAAACTCTCCCTGTTAATGACAGTGGTATAAAGACTAATTAATAGTTCATAGGCCAGGGCAAGAGCATCAGTTGGTTATCAGGTCAAGCAAAACAAAGATAGACTAAAAGTGATTTGGGTTCTATTTAACACCTGGTAATTTTTAAGTAGAGACTTTAAAACCAAGTTTCTTAAAAATCTCAAAAAAAACAACTTCCTTACATCTGCCAAAAAAAAAAAAACCCCACAAAAACCAAAACATGGTAATCACAGACATCTGAAAAGGAATCATTAACAGCCAGCCATAGATACATCAGACTTCCATCAAAATACGCATGCCCCTACCAGAAGAAACATGGGTCTGATTTGGTAAACACTTACGTCTTCAGTCCAATCTTCTGTTGTCCACTCTTCCACAGAATTCTTCCAGGCCCCTGTTGACAATAATCACAGCTTATACCACAAAGCCAAATACTGTTTTATTCTAAATGATTCTCTATCGTGTACTGCACAAGATATATCCTGTGTCTCACCAGCAATTTAGTCTATGATCCAAGAACTATAGGACTCTTAATCTACTCTCAATAAAATCCATAATGTTTCAAATGCAACTTAGCTAGATGCTATCCATGTAAACTCAAAGCAATGTCTAAAATTGATTCTACTTCAGTGTAGATGATATCCAGGCAATTCTGCCATGAGTAAGAAAGTATGGGCACGAGTCCTAAATGGTGTGGATCAGTGGGTTGGGTGTCAGCCTGCAAACTTCAATTCCCAGTGAAGGCACATACATGGGTTGCATGCTAGGTCCCCAAATGGGGCTGTGAGAGCAACTGATCGATGTTGCTCTCCCTCCCTTCTCCTCTCTCTAAAAATAATATCTTTTTTTAAAAAAAAGTATGGGCAGAACACAAATATACACATTAAACAATGAGATCATTCCTTATATATAGAGTTAAAGCACAGAACAAAATTCAATGAAGGCAGGTCTGCCTAGAACCCGTTCATGTGGAGCACCAAATTATCACACAAGGGGGGACCCCCAAAAACCTAGAATTTATTAAAAAATTGTGCATGTATTCTTACATGTTTAAACTTCTGTCACCTTCAAAGTGCTCTCCATTTGATGCAATATTCCTATTGAGACTTTTTTACCCTTGCTTGAAACAGTTTTTAAACTCACTGATTTTAATGCCTTTTAGTACTTCTGCCATTTTTTTCACCTCTTTCACATCCACAAAACATTTCCCTTTAAGGACTCGTTTCATCCGGGGAAACAAACAAACAAAAAATTCAGTCAGGGCAAGACTGGGTGAATAGGGAGGGTGGGGCATGGGAACATGCTGTTTTTAGTTAAAAACTGCTGAACACTCAGCACAGTGTAGACAGGTGCACTTTGTAAATTGCCCATCATAAAATGGGCAAACACACTGATAGTCTCTAAAAAAATTCACTGAAGTCCAACGCAGACTCTCACAACAATGCCAGCTGGTGGTACACTGATACAGATGGGTCCTAGAACACTCACCTGGCAGGAGAAGCCTGTACTACAAGGGGCCCACCCTCCAGAAGATAATTCCAGGGTTTTTTTTTGGGGGGGGGTGTCCCCCTTGTATTTCCATAAGCTTCCTTTACATAAGGTATTGGCTCCACTATATGGTTTCCTAATTGGTCTCCAGTGAAGCTGAACATTAGTCCATATGAAGTCCAGTGCTGTAACTCCTGAAGAGCAGGTACAGAGGATATGCTCAAACAGAAAAATCATCTAAAAGAATAATCATCTGTATAACAACTGATTTAAAGAAAAGTACTGATATTAAAAAATGCTGACTTTTGTATTTAAGAGATCCTGTATAAGTTTAGGCCCACTATTTTAAAGCATACATGCAAACACACAACCAGAGAAAATGGTTTCAAAGAAAACACACCAAATTATTTACTGTAAGCATCCTCAGGAAGTGGAATTGTGAATGTTTTCAGTTCCCTCAATGGGAAGAAATGAGTTGAGCATCTGACCTTCAATGAGGTTTGTGTGTGAAAAGAAGAGAAGAGAAGGAGGGGTACATTCCTGAGGAAAAAAGGCGGGTGACCAGCTCTAATTTCCTGGGAATCAGGTCAGTAACCCAGTAACAAACCACCTCTAAGAAAACCGATGGTTTTATCCAGGAAGAGAGTCCTTTTTAGAATGCTTTCAACAGGATGTCCCTAATTTTGTATTGGTTATGGCAAACAAATATAGAGTCTATGGATTTATGGAGCCCGGCTCCTGTTAAAATACCACCTAATATGTAGGTATAAAAGGGAGATGTTTCAAACCTGAAAACATGACCCCTGAATGAGAAACCTAGACACATCAGTTTGAGACTTCATCTACTATCATGGATCACAGGGCAAATTCATTAAAGGAAGGAAGAATGTGGGTAGATACATGCCCCACTCTTTTGTGGTTTTGGATTACACGTATACTTTCACCCTTGAACAATGAATATTAAGTGGACTTGTGCAGTTCAAACTCACATCATTCAACAGCCAAGTGAATTTTCGAACCACAGTTGGGAATGTGCACATGTGGAGGGTGGTTGGCACCCCTAACCCTTGTGCTGTTCAAGGGTCAACTGTAACAGCCCCAGGTAGGTAGCTCAGTTGGTTAGAGCATCGTCCTCATACACCAAGGTTGTAGGTTTGATCCCTGGTCAGGGTACATAGAAGAATCAAGCAATGAATGCACAAATAAGTGGTACAACAAATCGATGTTTCTCTTTCTCTTTTTAAAAATTAAAAAAAACATTTTTTAATGAGTTTGTTTAAGCCAAACTGATGACAACTGCTAGGAAGCAAAACCTCAAAGGACTGAGGAAACGCTCCCCTCCCTTTCTCTCTTCCAAAAAAAGGGAGGGCGTTCTACTGCAATAGTTAAAACTAAAACTAAATATTTCAACCTGATCCTCTGTATTCACTCACTCATCATATTTTTAAATGGTTTCCATTTCTCCAAAAATGCCATAAAAAATTATAACATCTCTTTCAATTAAGATATTTTCTCACACAAAAGTAGAAAGAATTAATAGCAAAAAAACACAAGGTGAGGTTAACCCCTCACCTTGTGTTAGAATCCTTTAGGACTTGGAAATGTGTCCTAAAACCTTGACTCTAGGACCAGGCCTGCATAGGCCTCTTAGCACACCCTACACCAGGCTACATGAATCTAACGCAAGCCGTTCACCTACCCTTCACTCTTACCTTCTTTCTACAATGTAACTTTCTTTCAAGTACTAATAGGTACTGTCCAATCTTTTAATGTATTTCCTTTCCAACTTTTCTCCAAGTACATGTTGGGAGTTTAAAAAGCTCCCAACTGGACTAATTTCAAAGATAGCCAGTACACAATGTTCCTGGTACCGCCTACATCCAACTTACACTATGCTTGTGTTGTCAAATTCATCATAGAAGACAAGTACTGTAATTTAAAGACTGACAAATTCTAGAAAAAGCTGAAGTTTGACCTAAGGAGTTTTAGAACATTCTAATGAGGAAATCGAAAACAACTTTCAGTCAAGATGGAGGCGTAGGTAGACACGCTTTGCTTCCTCATACAACCACAAAAAGAATTACAACTAAGTCTCAAAACAAGTAGCACCCGGAGCTGTCAGAAAATCAAACTATATGGAAATCTGACGACCAAGGATTTAAAGAAGCCACAAAAATCATCTAGACGAGTAGGAGAGGTGGAGATGAGGAAATGGGGCAGAGGTGAGGAGACACAGTGTGGCGCAGAGAGGTGGCAACAGCAGAACAGGCACAGGTGGTCCACAGTCATGTGTGGTGGATAAAAATCAGGAGGGATACCTTGGGAGCGAGTGATCCCAGCCCCAGGTCAGATTGCACAGTCCAGGGTTCCAGCGCCGGGAAGATAAATCCCCATAACTTCTGGCTGTAAAAACAAGCGGGGGGTTGGGGCAATGGAAGAAACTGCCAGGTTTTCAAGAAACTTCACTTAAAGGGCTCGCAAGGTCTTAAAACACATGCAAACCCATCCACTTTTAGATTCAACACCAGGGCAACCGCTGGAAGGGCACCAATCACATACAGAGAGTGGGTGAAGTCACTGGAAACTGAGTGCCAGGCAAATCCGCAGACGCCTAGTAGAGGCACAGACCCCTCTCTGAGCCCTCCCCCACACAGAGAGCCAAAAAGGGGTGAAGGCAGTTGCTCCACCCTGGTGATTACCTTAGGCTCTGCCCCACACAATTTGCAGGTGCCTTTTATAAGGAGTCAAAGCAGCTCTAACTAACACACAGAAACAAACAGAGGACGGCTGCCAAATTGAGGAGACAAATGATAGAATGGAACAAAACCCCGGAAAAAGAACTAAACAAAATGGAGATAACCAACCTATCAGATGGAGGGTTAAAAACAGTGGTGATCAGGATACTCAAAGAACTCATTCAGTATGGCAACTCACTGACTACAGCATCATTCAAGATGGCAACATAAAGAAAAGTTATAATAAGTTAAATACAAAAAAATCCACAGGGAACCAATAGTGAAGGTAAGCAAACTGGGATTCAAATCAACAATCTGTAACATAAGGAAGAAATAAACATTCATCCAGAACAGAAAGAAACAAATTCAAAAAAATGAGGAGGGAATAAGAAGTCTCTGGGACATCTCCAAATGTGCCAACATCCTAATCATAGGGATACCAGAAGAAAAGAGGGAAAGCAAGAAACTGAAAACATACTTGAAAAAATAATGAAAGAAAACTCCCCGAATTTGGTAAAGGAAATAGATATACAAGTCCAGAAAGCACAGAGAGTCCCACATAAATTGGATACAAAAAGAGCCACACGAAGACACATCATAATTAAAATGCCAAAGGTTAAAGATAAAGAGAGAATCTGAAAAGCAGGAAAAGAAAAAGCAGTGAATTACCTACAAAGGAGCTCCGAAAAGACTATCAGCTGATTTCTCAAAAGAATCTTTGCAGGCAAGAATTATTCATTCAAAGTGATGAAAAGGAAGGACCTACATACAACCAAGATTACTCTATCCGGCAAAGCTGTCATTTAGAATGGAAAGACAGATGAAGTGCTTCCGTAAAGCTAAAGGAATTCAACAACACGAAGCCATTATTACACGAAATGTTAAAGGGCTTTAGTTAAGAAAAAGGAGATCAAAATTATGAACATCACACAGTCAACAAATTCACAACTATAACATCTGAATCTAAAACAACTAAGAAACTAAGCAAACAACCAGATCAGGAATAGAATCCTAGATATAGAGATCATTTAGAGCATTATCAGCTGGGAGGGTAAGCAGAATGGGGGAAAATGTGCAGAAATTAAAAAGCATAATTGGTAAGTAAAAATACACAAGGGGATGCTAAAAATAGTATAGAAAATGGAGAAGCCAGAGAACTTATATATATGAC